CTTCTCTTTCCTGCCCCCTGAGCCGCTTCCCCTCAAGGGACTTGCCTGATGCAAAAAAAAAAAAAACAAACCCCAAAACCAAACAACAACAACAAAAATGCAGGCTGTTCTCAGAGTCCTAGTCCCTTTCAGAAAGCCCATGTTTGGCTTTCAGAGAGCTGTGAACTAAGATTTCTGTGAACAGGGACCAGGACTAGACACTGTTTGAGCAGGAGGCATGGTTTTTAGTATTTTAGATGAGTCTTGTGAGGAACTGTTAACAGATGCAAAAGACGACTCTTTGCAAAGAACATGGCAAAAAGAAAAAAAGAACATGGCATGATTCAAATGTATGGTTATTTTTGTTTTCTCATCCTTTAGACCAGTCCTGTTGACTGAGAAATATAATGCAATCCAAATATGTAATTTGAACTTTTCTAGTAGGCACATGAGTTAAGGGCGGGGGGCAGAACAAATCCAGACTTCTCACCCTGGCTCACACAGCCCCACATCAGTCACTGGGCCTACCTCTCCAGTCTCTCCTCATACTACCACTGCCTTCTAGAATCTTCCAGCCACATGGGCCTCTTTTAGCCCTTGAACTCACCAAGCTCATTCCCATCCAGCTACTTATTACTGCCTCATAGTCCCCATTGATCATTGCTGTTGTTGCTCCTCCTCCTTAAAACTCAGGTTCCCTAAGAGCAGGAACCTTATCCGTCTTGTTCACTACTGTATACTCGGGGCTCGGAACAGTGCCTGGCATACAGTAGGTTGAATGAATGAACAAATGAGGAACAAGTGAACTAGATAGGGTTGTTCTGAAGTGAGGAGACTATCAAGAAATGGCTATCAGGTCATACAGAATTCTCACTAGACAGACTGGGCTCCTTGTGAACTGGATTTTCCATTGGTGACAGGGAATGCCTCTGGAGCCCCCAGTTCCTCAGGCCCCCTAACTTGGGGTCATGCCTGCTGTTTTTGGGGTCAGTCTTTATGTCACCATGCCCTCCCCATCACCACCACCATTGGCAGTGGCCCCAGGCTCGGTGCATAGTATCATATGGGGACTTGTGTCGGGAAACAAGGTAGCAGAGTGACCACCATTTCTTCCCACCAGGTGGGTGGAGGGCAGGAGGCCCCCTTGTCTCAGAACTGCAAGAAAGGTCAACACTCCCCGTGCAGTGGGGGGAGACACCCTAGAACTTGAGAAGAGCTTTCTGTGTCCCCAGTTCACGAGAAGGAGGAGGAGACTAGTTGGAGGTCACCAATTGACCAAGCAGCTGTTAGATCACTGGGTGTCAACCCAACTTTAGAGGAAAGCCACCCATGAAGATGTTTTTAGTTTGGCACCAGTCATTGAGCTGTATACTCACAATATGTGCGTGTTCCTTTATGTTATATATGTTTTTTAAAACCCACACACACCCAGACCCGCTCTTACAGGTTCTGCTTCAGAACATCTAGGATATGTTCCAGGCACCTACATACATTTTAAAGCTTCCTTTGTGGTTCTCAGTGGCATCTAAGGGTTAAGAACTATTGATAAAGAGGGTCGCCTGGGTGGCTCATCAGTTAAGCATCTGCCTTCAGGTCATGATCCCAGGGTCCTGGGATCGAGCCCCACATCAGGCTCCTTGCTCAGCGGGGAGCCTGCTTCTCCCTCTGCCTGCCGCTCCCCCTGCTTGTGCTCTCTGATAAGTAAAATCATTTTTAAAAAAGAAATATTGATGAGGAATTACTAGGGACCCCAGAGCAAGAAGATGAAGAAGAGTGTGATGTAGTTAAGGGGCAAGGATGCTGAGACAGGACTTCAGTCACACTTAGAATAATGATGTTCCAGAAAGTCCAACAGACTGATAGGTTAATACACTAAAACCTCTGGGTGTCCAAAAAAATACCCCCAAACCAGCATTCAAAACCGTAAGAAGCAGGTAATTGGGAAGAACATATATAGCAAAAGCTTAATAGCCTTAATATTTATTTAAAAAAAAGAACAACTCTTACAGATCAGTAAGATGAGCACCCAGTAGAAAAACAGAGTACCAGACATGAACAGACAGTTCAAAAAGAAGAAATACAATGAGCCAATACATTTATGAAAAGTGGTCAGCCTCACCAGGAATCAAATAAATGCAAACTACAACAACAAAGAGACGTTATCTTTTACCTAGCTAATTGGCGAAGATTAAATATGTGATAATACCTCATGTTAGTGAGGGTGTGGAAAAAACAGGCACTGTCATTCACTGGTGGGAGTGCAAATTGGTGTAACCTTTCCAGAAGGCAATTTGGCAAGGCTTAAAGCTGAGGAAGATCGCATACCCTTTTGATGCAGCAATTCCCCTTTTAGGAAGATTGCCCTAGGAAATTATTGTGGATAGTAATAAACGATAATAGCTAACCTTTGTTAAATGCTCTGTGCAAGCCAGACTTTACATGCATTGTCTCATACAAGGCTTACAGCTATCATCCCATGAGGGAGGAGCTATTATCATCACCCGTATTTCACAGGGGAGGAAACTGAGGCACAAAAGGATTAGGTCAGTGACCTGAGGACACAAAGCTAATAAGTAGCAAAGCCTGGATTTGAATCCAGGTGGTCTGAGTCAAGAGCCACACTGCACATCCATCAGGACGCCCTGGATGTGTGCGAAGGATGAACACTGTGTGCACTGAATGGGCGCGATGCGTATATATGTTGGACCAAGCTGGGCCCATTTGTAATGAGGTGGCAGTGGGGAGAAAACACGCTGAATACCCCAGGATAGGAACTGGTTACGTCAATTACGATACGCCGATAAAGGAATATTATGCAACCATGAAAAATGAGAAAAGTATGTGTGTGAACACTGGGGGGTTTTGTACGCGCATAAAATGTCTCTGAAGTGATACAAAAGCAACTTAAATTGGTTGCCTCCTGCGGTCAGAAGTCAGAGGGAGACTTGTTTTTCAAGCCATATACCCTTTTACACTTAAATTTTGAATTATGTGAAGATATTATTAAGATGCATATGTATGTGTACATGCACACATAAGTTATGTTCTAGAGCTATTCCATGTAACTTTATTTCCTTGAAATGCTGCTAAGGATTCTGAGAAAAAAAGTTCTAAGACCCTTGCTTGGAGAATCATCCCAAAGTCAGTGATGCTACTTCTTTAACTCTGTTGCCCACCTGTTCCCCAAACTGGTTTGCTCATGGGACCCTTTTCCCAAGTAACGTCTATTATCATCTATCTCTCTGGATATTCGTGGCCTATAGAAGTCAGTTTGGGAAATGCTATCGTTAATAGTTAATGCCGAGCTCAAAGGCTTACATTTCTTTCATTAAACAAAAGAAACGTGTTACTGACGCTGATCCTATTTATTTACAATGCATGTGTGTGTGTATTTTAATTCTGAGTACTAGGATGGTGGATGATTTGGTTTTCTTCTTTTATCTGTCTGTATTTTTAAATTTTCTAAAATGAACAAAATCATTTCACAAGCACTGTTGTTTTTGAGCCTATGTAATATCATTTTGAAGCTTCAGGAGCCCTTTCTCTTTCTGCTCTCTCGGCCCCGGGGACCCCACTCCCATCTACTGCCTGCTTACAAGCAGCCGTTCAGGGGTAGCTTCAGTGAGGGAGTGCTAGCCATAGCCAGGCCCTCTTGGCGGCCTTCATCCAGAGTCAGCCGGGCCGGGACCATTCCGTCCCCAGAGAACTCCCTGGCCTAGCAGACCCTGGCTTCTGCTGTTGGAAGAATTTCAGTTATGTTCTCCATTTCCCAAAAAGAGACACAGGCTGTAGAAGCAGACACCAGACTGCTACGGGCCTGACGTGTTACAAATGCAGATACCTGGGCTTCGGTCCCAGCTCTGTAGCTGCCTGGCTGCCTGGCTGTGTGACCTTGGGCAAGTTTCTTAACCTCTCTGAGTCTCATCTTCCCCAGCTATGTCAGCAATGACACTTGCCTCACAGAGCTCAGGGACCGAACGAGAGCGTGCATGAAGGCATTGTATAACCTGTAAAGGGCTGTCCCTGTGGAAATTATTATATGCCCCAGTAGGGAACATGGGCTTGCCCTTACCTTCCTGAGAACAGAGTACTTTTTTTTTTTTTTTAGGTTGTTGGGGGACGGGAGCAAGGAGATGAGGCATGGGAGATCTGGGCACGTGGAAATAGAATTCTGTATAAGAAAAATGGGAGAAACCTCTCTGCTTGGCATTTGCAGGCCTGCAGCCCTAGTTGGGCCTGTGTCCCCCAGTGGAGCCCCAGGCCTTGTCCCCCAGACAGCTGCTCCACTGGACCCATTCAAGTCAGCCCACCCCTCTGGACCACGTGATTCTCCGAAGCCACCATGCTGACGCTGCCTGGCTCACCTCCCTTCCTGCCCCTTCTAGCACCTTAGCATCCTTTAGCCCTTAACTAAGTTAGCTCTTCCCCCAGCCTGGATTGGGGTCGCTCCTCTAGGTTTCAGCACCTCCAGGCCTCCGCGTACCATGCTGTGATGTTAGGGCTAGATTACATCTGTCCTGACGCACTGAACTTTCTGCGGGCAGGAGCTGGGTCTGTCATCTTGGTCCGCCTGTGTCCTCTGGGCCCAGCATAGGCCTGGGCGTCTGGGACAGGAGTTAGAGCATGAGCACCGAAGTCAAGGGCACCTGGGCTTGAATCCCAGTGCACCCTGAGAAAGTGCCTTCACCATTCTGAGCCTTAGTTTTCCCCATCTGTAAAGGGGTTTCATCACTTGCAATGAGTTCCTGGGGGTTTTTTTCATAAGCTAATGTGTGTAAAGCTCCTAGTGTCATTCCAGGCAGGAAGGGAGCTCCATAGGTAGTAGCTCCATAGGTAGTAGCATTGACAGCATTGCAGACCCTCTGTGACCGTGGACTGAATTGAAGTGGGAAATGACCCCAGGAGGGGTGGCTCCCCAGGCCACCCTTCCCCCTCCTAAAGACAGCAGCCCTCCCTCCACTGCGCATGCTTGGCACCGCGCCCCCACCATCATGCTCACCTCCCTGCCTTGTACCCCACAGCCACCCGGCCCAAGCTGAAGAAGATGAAGAGCCAGACGGGACAGGTGGGTGAGAAGCAGTCACTGAAGTGCGAGGCAGCGGCGGGCAACCCTCAGCCCTCCTACCGCTGGTTCAAGGACGGCAAGGAGCTCAACCGCAGCCGTGACATTCGCATCAAGTACGGCAACGGCAGGTGAGAAAAGCCCCTCCCTCTGTCCAACCAGCGGCCCTCCCTCCTCCCTGAAAAGGGGGGGCCAGTTCCCGGTCCCCCTTCCTGGCCACACCCCAGCCCTCCTTGCTGGCTCTGGGTCCCTCTGGTTATGGCGGCCCAGCGTCTTGCAGACTGTAGATGCTTAATGAAGGTGTCTGGATGGTTGAAGGCAGTTTGATTATCAAACTCAGCGTTACCTGTGGAAGTCCCCTCTTGTCCCTAAAACTTCTCGAAGGACCTGCCTCAGGGTCTGAAAGCCCACCATCTGGCAACCTTTGGTGGAAGACGGACTCCAGGATGCACCCGGGAAGTCACGAGTGATGACTCCAACCTCCCTCTACCACCAGCTCTCTCTCATCGCTTCGCTTCTAGAAGCTTTCCCTCCACGTCGCAGGGCCTGTCCCTCCTCCGGCTCTTGCCCATCCTGCTTCTCCCCTCCACCATCAAGCGGGTCAGTTGCGTGTCCGCTGACTCCACCCTGTGGTCCTCCATGCCTCCGGCCCTGCTGGAATCTGCCTTCTCACTACACTCCGCCGCTTGCGGCGAGCCCCAGGCCTCCAGGCCTCTGCAGTCACTGGCATAGGCGCCGCCGGCTCTGCGGCCTCTGGGGCTGTACCCCCTGGGCCTTCTGGGCCTCTAACCGCTCTCTCTCTCCGTCACCATCAGTGCTGGGACTTTCCTGTCTTGGGGGCTTCCCTCTTCTCCCTCCCACCCTCCCTCTCCATTTGGAGGTGACTTGACCCTCTCCTAGCTGATAACCTTGTCCCTAGTTAGATGCCTTTATATATATATATATATATATACACACACACACACATATATATACATATATATACACATACATGTATATATATCTGAGTTCCAGACCCATGCTGCCAACTGAACACTAGATCCCACCCCTGAGATGCCCCCAGACAGCTCTAACCCTGTGGGCCCCAGTCCATCCTCTCCCCCGCGTCCTCTCGGGCCCTGCCGCACCCTCCTGTCTCCCCTCTCGGTGGCGGCAGAACCAGACGGCCCGCTGCCTGGCACCTGCCCTCACGCCATGCCCACCGGCAAGAGACCCCCTGCTCTCCTGCCTCCGGCTTGTTTTCCTCCGCTGCCCCACTCTTGGCCGTCCCCACTCTTCCTGGGCCACAGGCCCCTTTGTGAGTTCGCTGTACGTAACACATGCACATGGAACATCAGCTGTGGGCCAGGCGCCCTGCCTGAGGCTGGGCCTACACCACAAAATGAACCACGCATGGTCCCTCCCTACCTTCACAGAGCTTCTAGTCTAGCTTCCAGTACAGAAGGTGCTAGAGGCCTCCACCCTGTCTTCTGAAAAAATGTGCCTTATCCACCCGGTTTTGCTACAGTTCTAGAGGCCCGCTGACCCCTGTGACCCTGGCAGGGGATGATCTTTCTAACATGGATGCGTAGCTGATCATTCACCCACTTACGTGACAGATCTTGAGAGCCTGCTGTATGCCAGCTACAGCCCAGGCCTCAGGCCCTTCCAACTCTCCTCTTCCTAAGTCACTGCCATGCTCTTCCACAACCCCCCAGTGCTCCTGATCCCTGGTCTTTTCCTTTCACGATCCCGGACTTGGGCCCACGCTGTTCCCCGTGCTGGCAGCTACCCCCCTCGCCAACCTTGTCCCTAGCAAAGTTCTCCAGGTCCCCTGGCATGGTGCTTTGTACATGGTTTCATTGAATTTTGGGGGGTTGTCTCTCCCTGTAGCACGAGAGAGCCTCGGAGGCTGGATGCCGCCCACATACACCCTTCTGCCCTGTAGGTCCTGGCAGGGACCTGCGTTGAGTGTTGCATGAAAGAGGGTCTTGCAGGACCAGCCCCCCTCTCCTGGGTACAGGGTGACACTAGGACTGGACACCCTTTGTGTTGACCTAGACCTTGAGCAAGCTCCTGTCCTGGTCAAGCCGCAGTCTCATCTGACAAACGGGCTACCCGGTCCAGAAACAGGGCCTTGTCCGGTCTTGCTGGTTGGGTATTGGGGACCCCTAAGAGCCTGAAGTGTGCCCCCTGCCCTCTTCCTGTTAGGGCCCCGTCCCATTTGCTGCAGTCCCGAAACATCCTCGATCCACCCATCCCGCCCCTGGGCTCCCAGCAGTGAGTTGACGGGGTGGAGGAGTGAGCCATGACGGAGAACTTGGATTCCCTTGCTGTGGCAGAGAGGGCTGCCACCTCCACACGCACACACGCACACACGCACACACGCACGCACGCACGCACGCACGCACGCACACACGCACACACGCACGCACGCACACACATACACACACACTTCACCTGGCATGGGGGCCAGGGATGTGAGGAGGAGTCTCCTTGCTGGCCAAATCTTCTCCTTCCTTCCGCCCACACTACAGCTTGCTCTCTGGCCATCCTAGTACTCCAGCTGCCAGGCCACACTCCGTCGTGACCGAGCTCTTGGTCTACAGAGGCCGCCTCCCCCAATAGCTGGTGCTGTCTCTGGGGCCGCCACACTGAGGTGTCGCGCCCAAGCCATCCTGTGCCAGAAGAAAACCAGCCCCCCCAAGCCCTGGGCACAGGGCCCTCCCCTGCGGAACCACATGTTCCCTTATTTATGAGGGGCAAGCTGCAACAGGCCCCTCAGGCAGGCAGCGGGAGGTAGGCACGGAGGAAAATGTGCGGGTGGAGGATGCGGCCGCCCAGATCCCATCCCTGCCAGCATTAAACTGGCTGGGGGGGGGGGCATCCGTTGCAGGGCCAGGCCTGAGTCAGTGTGGCAGGCGGGCATCGGGCCTACCAGGAAGGTGGGACAGAGTCCCGAATCCTCAGGATTTCCGACTGGAGCTAGGAGGGACAAGAGAATGTAGCGGCCCCTGCTCCTTCAGGGCTGAGAGACCCAAAGAGCCCCTACCCTGCAGCTCTGACCCCAGGACCTCTTCTGCAAGTCCGGGGCCACCTCCCCAGCCCTGGCCAGATCACCACCCAGCTGAGAACGAAGGTGCCTGCAGCCAGCAAACCGAGGCACCCTTGTTTCTGCCCACTCGCCTCTTGTCAGCTCCTCAAAGGAGAGGCATCTCCCTGAGCCTTGGACCGACTTTCCACAGGCCTCACAACCTTCTGTGGGAAGGCCTTCCTCCCATTTCCAGCCTTTATCCCTCCAGAGACCTGCGAGGCTAACTCCGCCTTTCCTGCTACCTAGGATGTGGTGTAAGGGGAGCTCCTGTGAATTCAGCTATGGGTGACAAGGAGCTTCTGGCTCTGTGCCCCCATCCCTTGACCCTGCGACCCTCAGGTGGTCCCCCGCTCTGCTCATCTAGTATCGGGGAATTGCTGGTGGCCAAGAAGTGAGAGAAGCCTGGTCCTGGGGCCGCTGGGCTTTGTGGCAGTGGATTCGGCTAAAGCCAGGAAGGAGATGCTGTTTTAGCCAGAGGGGCCTCCAGGGCTCTGTTTAATGAAGAGAACAAACTTGAATTGACAGAAGAGGATTGTAGGCAGACACCAGGCCAAGGAGACAGAGACTGGCTTGAGCTGGGAAGGGTTGGAGGGACGGGGCGGTCAGACAGCTGTGGCCAAAACATCGGTGAGGACATCACCACAGCAACAAGGGCCTGTTGACAAGACAACCCCATGGACCCTCCTTTGCAGGATCTTGGAGTGAGAAGGTCTGGGAAGAGGCCCCCTGAGGCAGCAGTGAGCCCAGGAAACAGGTTCCCAAAGCAGAGCCCCAGTGGGGATGGGGGTCAATTCTCTGGCTCCCGCACCCGCGGCCCAGCCTTGCCTCCCCTGCCCTTCCCCTGTCAGCATCACGGCTCTATTTTTTGTCCCTGGGCTTAGGACAGCGGCAGCTGGACTACCCTACCTCCTGTTCCGCCACCCCTCCAACACGCTACACATATTCTGGGAATCTGGTGTCTTAATTTGGGACCAAAGAGAGGAGGTTACATCATGTAAAGAAGTTTTCATGCTACTTCTTGTTTCCCCCTGGGGCCCAGGCTGGGCCACTAGGCTTTATCCAGAGCTCAGAGGGGCCCCAGGCCCCTGAGGAGCACTGGGGCAGAGGATGGGATGGGAGGTGTGAACAGAGCCCGCGGGGCCCAGGCGCCCTGGGGCAGGGGCAGAGAAAGCCTGGAAAGGAAGGAGAGGTTTGGCAGGGGCTTCAGAAAGAAGAGGGGTACCAGGGCCTGGTGCCCTGGAGTCACACACAGCCCATGATCCCCGCCCAGGCCTGGCCCCACAACTCTCGGCATGCAGGGATGGGGTGCAAAGCCCTTCACAACGGAGGCTAGCCTCCCAGCCTCTGGCTCTGGGAAATAGTCCATGAGCCCCTCACCAGCTCCAGCTCCTCATCCACCTCTGCCTCTGTCTTGCCAGGTCCCTTCGCGCAAGTCCAGAAGCCCCGGTAGGACTCCGTTTTCCCAACTGTACTGCCTATCCATCTCCAGGTTAGCCAGGAGGGTCAAGTCAGGCCATAAGGACCAGGATCTGTCTGTTCCCTTGAGGGATCCAAGCTTCCAGCTCATAGAAGGCACTCAGTAAACATTAAATGGATGGATGGATGGATGAATGAATGAATGCATGAATGAAGGAAGGACGCTAAAGCCCCGGAGAGAAGCCACAGAGTACCCCTAGCGGCAGGGCTAAGGTGAAGGTGGGGGAGCCACGGGTTGGGCCTGGGCGGCTGGGCACAGGTGCCACGGGAGCCTGTTAGCTTGGGGGCCTGCCCGGGGCCCTGGGAACGGGCCTTCCATCTCTAGAGTGGCAGGCTGCCACTCCCAAGGGAAGGCTGAGTAACTGGTGAGGCAGTGGCTGCCCTGTTTTGAGGGGGAACACTGGGACTGGGGGAGGGGCCCTGAAAGGAAAGGAGAGAGGTAGCCATGTGACTTCCTTAGGAGATCCCACTTTCCTCCCCCGGAAAAAGGCTACAAAGAAGGTCCAGCCCTGGAAAAGTGGGCGGGAGGATTCACAGATGAAGAACATGCAGGCAGCCACTAGCTCTACCCCGTGATCTGTGCTCTCCTGAGCGCCCAGGTCTCCCTCCAGCTCGGGGGGACTCAGAATTCCACCTGGAGCCCAGAATCTTCTTCTGATCCACCCTGTGCCGCCACTGTGGCTCTGTAGGGAAGGGTGACCGCTGGGGAACCACAGCCAGCCTGAGCCTTGGCTCACATCTCTCCCCCTCTTATCGCCTCCCTAACCAGAAAGAACTCACGACTCCAGTTCAACAAGGTGAAGGTGGAGGACGCTGGGGAGTACGTCTGTGAGGCCGAGAACATCCTGGGGAAGGACACAGTCCGGGGCCGGCTCCACGTCAACAGCGGTAGGTGGTCCCCCCACAAAGGGAGGGGTCCTGCAGGGATTTGGTGGGGGCAGGCCAGTTGCCCCCCAGCCCTCAGGAGGCCCGCACATGATCCATCTTGCACTTGCCTCCCCTCCCTCCTGCTGCTGCCATATCAAGCCCCAGGATCTGGGCCGATTCAGAGAAATGCAGTTGAAGCATAAATGTTTAGCTTTGTTATCTGGGCCTGGAAGAGCCGCCAGCTCTCATTTTAAATATCCTGAAAACTAAATATTTTGAAATCAGGAGGTGGGGGTAGGGGAAGGATATTTTTAGAAGGCAATTATGGGAGACTGGGCTGCCAAGAGCGGGGCTCCAGGGAGAGGCAGGCCCTGGGCGTGTGGGAGCTGACTGCCTGTTGCTTTGCCGGGCCCCTGGGTTCAGGCAGCCGTCTCCCCGGGGCCACGGCCAGGAGGCTTGGCTGTGTTGGCCCCTGCGGGCAGCAGACCCTTATCCCACAGGTGGGCCTCTCCCGTAAACACATGCAAGGTCAGAAGCCCACGGCCACCACGGCACCCTTAACTTCCCACCTCCCCTGTGGCAGTCCAGTGTCGGCACCCAGGCAGCCTGCTTTCCCTTGGCTGGAAAGTGGCCAGAGCTGCCTGTCCTCAGGCCGCACACCTCCACTCTAGCCCGGGAACTCCAAATCCCACAAATCGCTCTCCCCCTCCCAACACCCACACACTGAGCATACCATTTGGCTACCTGGTTCTTTGGGTTCACTTCCAGTCCTGCCCCTGTCAGTCTAATCCTGCATCTGCCTTTGCCTGCCTATACCAGGCAGCCCTCCAGGACTCCCGAAATCCAGCATTATCTAAAGAGAATGTGGAACGTTCCCTGCCCCAGGACCCTCAGAGGAAAACCTGGTACAGACCCAGTCTGTCCTGTACTGTGAGGGGTCTCTGTGTTCTCCCAGCCCCTCAGGCTCCTCGACTCCCTTGCCGCCGCTGGGTTTTTTTATTGTTATGTTAATCACCATACATTACATCATTAATTTTTGATCTAGTGTTCCATGACTCATTGTTTGTGCATAACACCCAGTGCTCCATGTAGAACGTGCCCTCCTTGATACCCATCACCAGGCTAACCCATCCCCCCACCCCCCTCCCCTCTAGAACCCTCAGTTTGTTTTTCAGAGTCCATCGTCTCTCATGGTTCATCTCCCCCTCTGATTCACCCCCCTTCATTCTTCCCCTCCCGCTATCTTTTTTTTTTCCTAACATCTATTGCATTATTTGTTTCAGAGGTACAGATCCGTGATTCATCAGTCTTGTACAATTCACAGCGCTCACCATAGCACATACCCTCCCCAGTGTCTATCACCCAGCCACCCCCTCCCCTCCCACCCCCCACCACTCCAGCAACCCTCAGTTTGTTTCCTGAGATTAAGAATTCCTCATATCAGTGAGGTCATATGATACATGTCTTTCTCTGATTGACTTATTTCACTCAGCATAACACCCTCCAGTTCCGTCCACATCGTTGCAAATCTGCCGCTGTATCTTAAAGGTCCAAGCCTCCAAGTCCTGGTCTGTCTTCTTTCTGGATCTTTCTCACATCTGTACCTCCCACTCCAACCCTACTCAGAGGCAACCCAGCCCAGGTTTCAGCTCTATTCACCTAAACCAGAGCAATGGCCTCTTAAGATCCTTTCATCTTGTCATGCCCCCACCCCGTGGTGCCGCAGAACAAGGACTTCGTCCCACAGCCCAGAGCCCACCAACCTGGCCCTAACGATCTTTCCAGCCCTAACTGTCATCCCTTACAGTCTGTTCTTATTCTTCCTCTCATGCTATCTCTCCCAGGCTACCATCTGCCCCGACCCCTCCCTCCCACCACAGTGTCATTCCCAGCTCAGGTCCTGCTCCCAGGTGGGATTGTGAGCCAGGAGTAGGGAGAGCGGAGATGGTGCCCTCTCCCCAGGAGTTACAAGGAGAGCTACTATTTACTGAGAGCTTGCTCCGTGCCTCATTCTATGCTATCTCTGGAGCTCTGACAAACCCATGGTGTAGCTCATATTTTGTGAGACTGAAGCTCAAAGAGGTTAAATATTCTGCCACACGTCTAACTGATGGTTAAGGAGAGATCTATACCATGTAAAAGTAGTTAGCAGACACTGAGACCGTGAGCTCCGTGGGGCTAGGTCTCGCCTGATTGCCACTCTAGCTGAGGGCCTAACACAGTGTCTGGCTCATAGTAGGCGCCTGGTAAATAATATAGAAAAGGACTTATAACCTGCTCCAAGGCCTTTACTGACTCCCACAGGCCCCAGGGGGGTACATGCCCCCCCCCCGGCTCCTCTCCAACTGTCCCAAGCCCAGGAAAATGGTCCATGCTAGGTGTCCAGCACCTGTTACCTCCAGCCATAGTGGGCAGACATTCTTAAATCCATTTTGGACTTGATGTTTCTTGTTTTGTTCAAGATTTTCTTGGCTAGAATGGGCAGGAGGGGCATGCATGCTCTAGTCAGTAGAGCATGCAACTCTTGATCTCAGGGTTGTGAGCTTGTTGGGTGTAGAGATCACTTAAATAAATAAATAATTAAAAAAAAAAAAAAAAGAACCTGACAAGAACCCAACTTAAAACTACTTAAGGAATATACTTACTGGTTTATAAAACTGAGAAATCCAGAGGTAGAACCGGGCTCAGACACGACAGAGTCCGAGTACTCAAATAGGGTTCAGGACGCCCTCTCCCACTGAGTGTTGTACTCCTTCTCCCCTTCTGCAGAACAGGCTTCTTCCATGTTTGGGGACTGGACAGGGAAGAAGAGGCCATGGCCTCAAACAGCTCCAAGTTTCACCTCATCCCGGCCTCCCACCCAGGGAACACAGACAGCTCTCCTCTGCATCCCTCACATGACCCCAAGGACGGATGCCAGTGGGTCCTGCTTAGTGCACGTGCCCCGCTTGGCCCAGTCACTGGCCTCAGGGGATGGGGTGGTATCCTTGCCAGGCTTGTGAGCCTGCCGAGGGGTTAGAGAGGCAGAGTCCAGTGAGGGATGGCCCTGCCCGAACTACAAGGGGCCGGGGTGGGGGGCGCTTTCCTAGAGGGGTGCTGTCAGCAGAGGAAGAGGGCAGGGCTGCCGTGCAGAAAACCACAGTAGCAGCCTCGCTCCGGTGCCGGTCTTAGGGTCTGAGGCTGGAGACCATTGGAAGATCCCTCAGATGCGCCGCAGCCCCGCGCCACACAGGAGCTTCTGTCTGTGCTCAGCAGCCCCTGTTCGGATCGGTTAGGGACCGGGCAGTGGAGGTTCGGGCTGGGCCCGGAGGGCTGCCCCCAGGGCCTTGCCTCTCCCCCCTCCAGCCCAGCATGAGAGCAGCCAGCCTGAGCAACAGAGAGTCCCGAGCTTTGGTCTCTTCTGAGCTCTGCGAGCCTGGGAGACTTACTCCACCTCACTTGTCTTCCATTTCCCCAGCTGAGGCTGAGCCAGATAATCTCTAGGCTCTTTCCCCGTAAAATTTGAAGATTGAGTTTGATATTGAGACGGACATCCTGTGCACCTAGCCCCCAGCACACACACACCCACCCACACACACACACAGTCACCCCACCTCTTCTGTTGCCCTGTTCAGTCCATGGCAGGTCCCTACCCTTGACATGGGGTGACGAACAGGGCCACTGCGGGGCATCAGGAGGCCCCTGTGGGGGCGCCGTTTCCACAGGCAGAGATGCCCAGGCTCCTTGTTTACCCATGGAGCCCAGAAGACCTGCAGCAACCACACCCTGGGGCGGAGGTGGAGGGCGGGTAGCGGGGAGCTGTGCCCGCCCCCCTGTGACTCATCCCAAGGTGGGTTGGCTTGGCCCGCCCAGGCCCCAGGGAAGCCAGGGCCACAATGGTGGGGTGGCCAGAAGAGGGCATGGGAGGGCCCAAGGAGCAGTGGCTGCACCAGGGGCATCGCTGGGACCCTGGCGGCCTGCTTGGGCTCTGTTCCTGTGGAGCTTGAGGCTCCTTCCCCAAATCGGCGCAGACCCTGCTTACAAGTCGCAGCTCTGCCAGCTCACAAGACACTGCCTCCCTGGTTGCCTGGGAGGAGGAGTCAGCAGGAAGTGTGTGGGGCTTTTAATAAAACAATCAGCTTGGTCCAGCCCACCTCGGAGTTCGGGAAACCAGCTGCCTCATCCCCAGCTGAAAGAGAACTTGGGAACGTCCTGAGGTGGCTGTCCCAGTCCCAGGATGTCCAGCTGGGCTTCGCTCCGCCCCAGAACGCACACAGATTTGACCTGGGGAGTCACAGGACCGCGGAAGCCCTGCAGAGGCTTCTGGGCCTGTCCCTCACCTGGGGGCTTAGAAAGGCTCACTGTGTGTACACACACACACACACACACACACACACACACACACACATACACACACATCCCTGCTCTCTCGCTCACCTATTCAGCAAGGCCTTACTCAGAAAGACCAGGTTCAGAGCTCTGGGGAGTCATAGCCTTGGCTCCCAGCGAAGTCCCCCAAAGTTCCGGGCAGGACGCCAAAACCCAAACTCAAAGCATCTGCCTGTCCTAACACATGAAAGAGGAAGGGCAACTTTACCCACAGGAAAGGGGGCATCCTGGGCAGGTGGCTGGGGGCTTTGATGAAGGGAGGTCACTTGATCGGGGCCCTGAAAGGTAAATGGAGGTTCCCCCATTAGCGGTGGAGAGGAATTGCAGCAGTCAGCAGCAGGGAGAGTGTCTCCTGGCCCTTCCCTCCTTAGAGCCTCGGAAAGCTCACGCCCACCAAGACGCTAATGGCTGAGGGAGGCCTCCTGGGTTTACCCTTCCAGGCATTTTTAATTTTAATTCCAATGTAATTAACGTGCATATCAGTTTCGGGTGTACAATAGAGGGATTCAGCAATTCTGTGCCTTACCCTGTGCCCACCACAAATGTACTGCTCATCCCCATCACCCATTTCACCCATCCCCCCACCCACCTCCCCTCTGGTCACCATCAGTTTGTTCTCTAGAGTTAAGAGACTTCTGGGTTGTCTTTTTCTTTGTTCCTTTGTTTTGTTCCTTAAATTCCACATAGGAGTGAAATCACATGGTATTTGTTTTTCTCTGATTGTATTATTTCACTTAGCTTTGTACCCTCTAGATCCATCTACATTGCAAATAACAAGATTTCATTTTTTATGGCTCAGTAATATTCCATTCTTTATCCATTCACCTGTGGATGGACGCTTGGGTTGCTTCCATATCTTGGCTGTTGTGAATAATGCTGCAGTAAACACAGGGGTGCACATGTGTTTTTGAATTAGTGTTTTCATATTCTTTGGGTAAATACCCAGTAGTGGAATTACTGGATCATATGGTAATTCTATTTTTAATATTTTCATACTATTTTCCACAGCGGCTGCCCCTGTTTATATTCCCACCAACAGTGCATTTAGGGTCCTTTTTTCTCCCCAACCTCACCAACACATGGTGTTCCTTATGTTTTTTATTTTAGCCATTCTTCCAGGCACTTTTAAGATTTTATTTATTCGAGAGAGACAGAGGTAGCGAGAGAGAGCACGAGCAGGGGGAGGGGCAGAGGGAGAGGGAGAAGCAGGCTCCCCACTGAGCAGGGAGCCCGTCGCTGGACTCGATCCCAGGACCCTGGGATCATGACTTGAACCGAAGGCAAATGCTCAGCTGACTGAGCCCCCCAGGTGCCCCCCGGGCAAAATCAAAAATTTTTGAGGTATGACTTACAGACCATAAAATTCACCCTTTTTAGAGTATATAATTCAGTGGCTTTTAGTATATTCACAAGGTTGAACAACCATTACCACTAATTCCAAAACACTTTCATCACCTCAAAAAGAAACCCCATGCCCATTAGTATTCACTCCCCATGCCCCCACCCCTCTGCTTCTGGCAACCACAAATCTATTTTCTGCTTCTATGGATTTACCTATTCCGGACTTTTCATATAATTAGAGTCATACAGTATGTGGCCTTTGAGGACTGCTTTCTTCCACTTACCATAATGGTTTTGAGGTTCGTCCATACTGTAGCACATACCAGTACTTCTTTCCTTTTCATGGCTGCACAATACCCCATTACATGGCTAGTCCACATTGTGTTTATCCCAGTCAATGATTTGGGTTGTTGGGTCATCCAAGTTTTTCCCCATCTGGGCTTTCATGAATAATGCTGCTGTAACATGCAGAACAAGTTTTGGTGCGCACACAGGCGTCCAGTTCTCTTGGGTATATACCTAGAAGTGGAATTCCCTGGCCATATGGTAACTCTGTTTAATTTTTTGAGGAGCTACCAGACTGTGTTCCAAAGTGGCTGCACCATTTTATATGTCCCCCAGCAAGGTATAGGGATTCCACATTCTCCACATCTTCACCACCACTGGTTCTGGTCCATCTTTTTTATTATAGCCATCCAAGGGCGGTGTGAAGTGGCATCTCACTGTGGTTTCGATTTGCATTTCCCCGATGACCTTCCGGGAGGATTTGCATGTAATAGGAGACAATGCTTTAGTCTATGGAAAATTATCATCAGGCCAAGTTGACCAGACGAGCTCCTGGATGGTAGTCGAAGGCACCTTACTCCGAAAAATCAGATGTTCATTTGCTTATGACAGATATTCGTAAATACTTGTTGGGCACCTGTTACATGTCATGCACTACTCTAAACACTGGAGTTCATTGGTGAACGAGACAGACGTGGACCCTGCCTAGATGGAGCTTACATGCTGGTGGAGGAGCTTGGCATTTAATTGTTAGAATAAGTACTCTAAGTACAAGTGTATGCAGCTAAGAGAAAGGGAGGAGCCCGGGCAGCCTCTCTGAGACACTGATATTTTGGAAGTCCTGGCCAGGAAGACCCCTAGCTTGTTAGAGGAGCTGGACTAAGCCCGTACAGTCTTAAGATACTGCAAGAGAGGGACAGGACATGAAGTGGGAGAGGAGTTGGGGGCCTTTATGCTGAGGGAAAATGGAAGCCATTGGAGGATTTTGAGAATGGAAGTGATTGATCCCTTTTACCTATTTTAAAGACCACTTTGACAGCAGGGAGGCAAAAAGGGGAGAGCTGAAGGCAAGAGCGAGGGCAGAAAGACCAGTGAGGAGGCTGCTGCGGTCATCCAAGAAAGAGACCGTGGAGGCCTGGGCTGGGAAGTGGTGGAGACATGTGGCCGGAGCCTTGTGAACAGGTAGAAAGACAGCCTCGGTGATAGATGAATGGGGAAAACAGAGGAGGAGAAGAAATGAAAGATGCCCTCCAGGTCTTTGGTCTATGCTGCTCAGTCAGTGGGACGAGTAAGCCTGGGGAAGCAAGTGGCCTGGCAGATGATCAGGAGCCCCATTTGGGGGAGACTAGGGGCCATCCCAGCTGGGGGGTGGGCCAAGGGAGCAGCCAGACTCTCCAACTTGGAGTGTAGACGTCACCTTTACTTCCCCAAGCGTGGGCGGACACAGTGAAGAAAGACGGATATGCTGACAAGGGAGCATAGACATGCTGCCTTGGGGGGAGTCCAGCACAGGCCGTGCATCCCAGCTGAGGCCGCATCTTCCTTCGGGAGCCATCGTCTGCCTCCCAAGGCCTCCATGAGCACAGACATGCATGTGGACAGGCCCAGGTATACAGCTGTGGCCCCAGCCACCATCCTCCCTGCTGTCCACTGCTCACCCAGCATAGCTATGGGCAGTGTCTGCCACCCACGGCCACAGAGGTAATCAAGCCTGTGGTCCACAAGCCGAGACTTCTCTGCCTTAGCCAACACCCACGAGAGGACCCAAGCCTGTGGTCCACATCATATCTGCATTCGCCTGCTCATGTCAAGCCTTGGCGCTGACACGTTCTTCCACGGGGGACTAGCTGGCTGGTGAGAATGCTCAACCAGGCGTCGGGAGCCCTGCAGCCTTGTCACAACACACACTGACTCTGGCCAGGCATTCCCCTGCCCCTTTCCTTCACTCCTCCTTGGCAACATAACCGAAGGGCAGGGCCACCTCTGGTGTCCTCCAGAGCAACGGATTTTGCAACTCGCAGTCAGGGTCACCTCAGCTATTTCTCTCTGTCCCTTTCTTGGTTCCTGGGTCTCCCTGACCCAGAGTGGGCAGCGACCAGCAGAGGCCTCCTGTCCCAGCTGAGTGTGGCGGTGTGTGTGGGAGGAGACCTCCACAGAGGCGGGGCTCGGGGGGGCGGTGGGCCAGAGCGGCCACAGGCACGGTGTGGAGGGGAAAGTGGGAGCTGGCCCTGCCCGCTGGGTTTTATCGGCGAGCTCCTCAGACATACACAGAGGCAGAGATGTGTACATACCCCCAGTCCCCGCGCTCCATCTGTCTCCCACATGTCTAAACACTGAGGGCGCCAAGTGCCTGCCCTCCCCCTCCTCCTCTCAACTCCATCACCACGGGGAGGGGGCGGGAGGGACTCGGTACCCCTGAGGAGACAGGAGCAGCCGAGGTAGGGTGGGCCACCTCAGGCAGGAGGCCGCTGCTGGGTGGGAGCAAGAGATGCTGGGAGCCCCAGAGGCCGAGGTGCTACCCAGTCTGGATATACGTGGCCTCAGGCATTAGCTCACAGATGAAAACCAGCACTGGGGGCAAGACTTTTCCCTTGAAACCAGGTTTCTGGATTCCATCCCCGGGGGGGAGCAGAACTTGAGTTATTTTCATTTAGCGAGTGAATCTAATCCATCAGATGGGTGGTCTGGGTTGGCAGCCTGCAAGCCCCATTCCACACTCACCCAGTGTCCACGTCCCAGCCACTCTGCAGGCCTCTACCCATCCCACCTCCTCTCCAGCAACCTGACCTCCAGGGTTTATAGCATGGGCTGTCGAGGCCTAGAGGCTCCCTTCAGGCGCAGCCGCTGACTGAGTGGGGGAGGATGGGGCTGCCTGATGAGGGCAGAGGCAAAGAAAACCCTGGGTGCTTGTGGAGAGGGGCATAGTGGCCTTTGTAGCAGTCCTGAGAGTCTCGTCCCCTCTGACAAAGGAGGAAGATGTGGGAGCTAAGATTCTCCTCATGTCTCTTGAGATCTTAGAGAACGAGTCTCCAGAAGGGCCATTCCCCTCCAAGCCCAGCTCCCTTCCAGCCACCTCCTGGCCACCTCGAGATCCCAAGCAGTGCAGATGGATGTAGAGGTCTCCTCCCTGCACCCCACAAAAGACAGGATGTCTCATCGACCTATGGTGGAGCCCCCAGAAAGGCAGGCAAGAAGTGGGCTCTTATTCCAGTAGAAGGAGCATTTTCCGCTAGCTTCTCATCTCCTCCCAAATAGAGAAAATTGTCCTGGCCTTTGGAGGTTTGGGTACTTCGGCCCAGAGTACAGGTGCAGGGTGGTGCTGGGCAAATGGTCAGAGCTCCTGGTGGCCTCCCCTTTGCCTTGGTGGTGACTGGGAAGAACCACCAGACCTCCCCTCTCAAGTTATTCCTGCGGTTCCTGATCTTCCAGCTCTGAGATGGGCCAGGAAGGGCCAGCAAAGAGGTGGTTCCTAGGGCCCAGAGGTGGTCTCAGTGGGTCACTGGCACGTGTCTCTCATACCTCCAGTGAGTACCACTCTGTCATCCTGGTCGGGGCACGCCCGGAAGTGCAACGAGACAGCCAAGTCCTATTGTGTCAATGGAGGTGTCTGCTACTACATCGAGGGCATCAACCAGCTCTCCTGCAAGTAAGTAACCGGTGGGGGCGGGCAGAAGGGCGAGAGTAGGGTGAGAGAGGCTGGGGCAGAAGCCAAGGGCTCTAGGAAACGTGCGCTTCAAGCCACGGACATGGGGTCCCCAAGGGCTGTAGACAGGGAGGTTTGCCCCTCTCCCTAGCCCTTCCTGGGCATCGAGGGAGCTGTCTACCCTCAAGGGCTCGGGGCTTCTGCAGTGCCAGTTTCTCAGGCCCCGACCCACCCCACCTCCCAGTGTCCACCCTTTCGCTAACACCTTTTAGGGAGATGGGGATGCCAGTCTATGCCCTAGGCACTGAGCACTGGGTTCTCTCTCGCTCTCTCCCCCTCCCGCTCTCTCTCCCCTCCCCTCTGTCTCCTCCCATCTCTCAGCAACTCTCCAAACTGTGTTCTGATGAACATCTCCCAGGGTGTGTCTTCCCCAGCAGCGAAGAGCTTGGCAGGGTCAGGCAAAGCACAACTCCCAGTGCCCTTGGTAGTGAAGGGTCTGCTCTCCTAGCCTTGAGGGGAGAAGAGGACCCTGCATCCAGTGCTCACCGCAAGACCTGGCTGCTCTCCCTGCCCAGTGTCCAGCTATGCCCTGGGTGCTGCTTGTTCCATTTCCGACCCCAGCCCCTCTCTGTGGAGTGAAAGGACACCAGTGAGGATACGGCTCTGGGTGTGGCCCAATGGGGGAGGTCAGGGTTGAGGAGAAGCTCAAGCTGGGGCCCCCCTACCTCCAGCCAGGCAGGGCTCCCCAGCAGAATCTCCATCCCGTTCCCCTTAGCCAGCAGGGCAGATGGGAGCACAGTAGTCCAGGGCTTGTTCAGGTCCAGCTGTCCATTCACAACCCACAGCTGTGAATGAGGAGCCAGAGGGAGAGCTTGGCGAGAGCAGCGCAGGTTCTGGCCAGATCGAGGTGGGGCGGGGGGCACTAGTTCACAACTTTGGGTTTTCAAAGGACCCCAAGCCTAGGACCCTGGCGAGGTGCCACAGTTGCCCCATTCCCATGGCATCTGGGCAGAGGCCACCAGAGTACTGGTGGAAATCAGAGAGAGGCGTTTGCCCTTCCCACAGACAAGGTCAGATTCAGCACTTCTCAGCTCTCCTACCTCTGGACTCCAGCTCCAAAGCTGCATCTCCCCATTGACTACAGCCTTAGCCCAAGACCCCTCCACCTCACAAGGTGACAATGAGGGTGCCTCCTTGACACTTTCCCCTCAGTGCCGGGCTGGGTGGGCCTGGACTGCCAAGCAGATCTGGCCTCCTTTGCTGGCTTCCCCCCAGCCCCACCCTTCACCTGCTGCCATCCCCTTACTGGCCTCCCCCATCCTGAATTTCCGGGAACTGTCCCAGCAGCAACAGCAGGTCCCCCAGGGAACTTCTCAGCCTGGACTCAGCCCCTCATCCTTCCCCTTCTTCTGCCTCTAGGAGGCTGCCACATTCATGCAACAGACCCTGGGGAACATTCTAGCTGTGAAAACACTCTGAGCTCTCTGCAGGAGATCTATAGAAACTCATAAGGGTTCTGATATACCTCACAGACATCCCCCAGCCCTGTACGCCCCTCTTCTTTTACTCCCCGACACACACACCCACACACACACACACCAGGCTTTTCCTCTTCCCTAGCCCCTCGGACACTGGAACCTTGAAGGAATCTAGCAGCATCACTGAGATCAGCCCTGGCTCCAGGCAGGGAAGGCTTCAGCCACCCAGGACAGGTGCTAGGGCCGAGGAAGGCCATGGGGGCCCAGAGCTCCAGTGCTAGCGTTCAGTGTGGAAAGGGGTGTGATGAGCTATATGGGTTCCCACAGGGTCCTGCCAGCAAGGCTGTACCCCTAGGATCCTCCTAGTCACACCCAGCTAAATCTGAGAGGAACAGAGGGCAGGAGCCTCAATCATTGCGAAGATGGTGTCCTGTGGGCAACTGGGGTTCACTTAGAACTTGAAGTTGGTACCCCAAACCACGACCTCCCCATTTCAACCTGCCCTAGGTCAGTCCCAGCCAGGGCTCCTGGAACCAACTTTCCCTGACTCCCTGAGCCCTCAGGGGAGAGGGGCGTCCCCGGTGAGGATCACTTTCAGGAGGGCAGGTCCTCAGAGCTGTGCTGGAGAAGGACAGGGGGGGAGGGGGGCAGGGCAGAACCCAGAGGCCATTCTGGGGGCGGGCGAGCTGGGAGGGAAGTGGGGGGCAGGCCTCTTGGGATTCCTGATGACACCTGAATGGAATAAAAAGGAAAGAATCTAGGAAATGGAACTCACGTCTTACCATTTGTGCTGTTTGTTTACTTTTTATTTTGATTTTTTTGCATTTCCGCTTAGCTTGGATAATGAAACTAGACTGGTCAGTTTCATTCCAGTTTCTATACAAATCAGTTTTCCTTCCTGGTTTTCTGACACTTGTCGTTGTGTATTGGTTCTGAGCCCTGCAGGGAGTGTTGGGAAGCAGGCACACTCCATCCCTCCTGTTTTTTCTGGAATTCAGAGCCAAAATAAACAGTATCACGGATACTGAATTTTGTTTTAAAAAAGAAAACTTAGGGGGATTGGAAAATGGGGGTCCAAATCCAGGCGACTGTCCCCTGTCTGGGCCAGACAGGGGCCTCCGCACTTCTCGCTGCTTTCTCCTCTTCTCTCCGTGTTTTTGTGGAGCACGGTTGGTGCGTGACTCTTGGGGACTGGTTCAGGGGATGATGACAGAACAAGACTCTTTCCAGCCCTGTGCACATACCAGTGGCATGCCTCCCTCTCCCATCAAGCTCACCCCCCACCTGCCCCACCCCATGTCCAGGTGGTTCTCCCATCCCATTCCCATCTGCCTGCTCATCGTCTCCACATCTCCACCCCACCCCTCATGAGGCCGGAGACCCTCCCGTCCCCCCCCCAGTGCCCGGGGCACACGCTCATCCTTCATCCTCCCCCTCCCCCGGGTGAGGGCAGCACACATGGCATTATCCCCAGGCTACCAAAAGGAGAAACTGAGGCCCGGGAGGTGGGTGGGAAAACGGGGAGGCAGAGCCCCAACCTCTGTCGCCCCAGATACAGCCCGTGGGCTCTCCTCTCTGCCCGTCTCACCTCTGCTCTTCTCCAGCCCTGGGCACAGACCTTCCCACAGTCACAGTGGGTGACTTGGGGGAAGGCTGAGAAAGCTATGACCTGCCGCTCCTTCTCATCTGTCCCTTGGGCCCCTGAAACTCAGAGGGCCCACCCCTGTTTCAGTGGGAACCTACCCACTACCAGCCAGCTCCCCACATGGAGTCAGAAGCCCCCTCGTGGTTGATAGGTTTATGCAGCCCGAACCCCGCTACCTGGTCCTGAGCGCAGGGTAGCAAGGCTGTAGGCCCACCCCCAGAATCGTCCCCAGGGAAGCCCCAGGCTCCTGGACGTGGCTCATTCTTAACAAGCAGGAGTAAGGAGAGTCCAGGAGCCTGCTAGAAAGATCTAGTACCCAAAGAACAGTATGGGGTGCCCATCCCCCACTGCCCTCTTTTGTTCAGCCAGTGGGGAAGACACTTCCCCAGGGCAGGAAGATTAGGACCATATTACACAACTCCAGGGGGCACATTCGCGTTAGAGACCGTACCCATGGTGCCACCTGGAGCTGTACAACTCAGTGGCCATGAAAGATGAGACTACAGTCGGGTTAGTCCAGGCTGGGTGTGGGATCAGCAACGCAGGGATGTGCTTACTTGTTGTCATTGGTCTCCAAGAGCCATGGGACAGCATCCCTGCCTGTCAGCAGTGGGAATCAATTCCCCCTTTGCCCCTCCTGCCCCTGCACTACCCCCCACTCTCTCTCTCTCTCTCACACACACACACACACACACACACACACACACACAAGAGCCGGGCTAATCTCAGACATTGGACACAGTCAAACCTCTCTCTTTCCTATTCCTTTGAGGATTCTGAGAGTCATTTTGGCAACTCCCTGGGTCTTTATCCTCCATCCCCAAAGCTGCTGCTGCTTTAATAATCACTTCTCCCCTCCAGCCCCCACCCCAAGTGGACATCAGTCTCTGAGAGCTGAGGAAGGAGAGCTGAGCCTGACTGGAGCTGGTTGGGAAGCCTTAGCAACGACCTGCATTTTCCTGGGTGGGATGCTTAGACCAGAGAAGGATGTACTGACAAGGTGGTAGCCTCCTCCTCCTCACCACCCTGTTCAACAGGATGAGTGTGCATCAAGTCCATTGTAACCCCCACCTCCCGCCACGTTCTCCAGACACGCTTCCCAGCCCTCCACGGCTACGCACTGGCCAGGCATTCCTACACATCTACTACCAGCCCTGCAAGGACCAGCCTCCTGCCTCCCCTGCGGGAGACGCCATTGAGGCCCAGAGAAACTCCAGCTGCCTGCCCACCAACCACTCCCAGTCCCTCAGGCTAGACTGGGGGCAATAGGAGTTCTGCGAGTGTCTATCACAGCCAATGGCAACCATCCCCTATAAGCTCAAGGGGTTGCTGATGGTTGGTATACACAAGAATGCTCAGAGGTCGAGTACACTCCCCTCTTGAGGAGGTTTACTGATTCATGTGGAACACCTGACCTATTGAGGGGACACTGGCGATGGAGTTACCTAATTTCCCAATAAGGAAGAGGCAGCCCAAACCCATCTTTGAGCAGGGGAATGGGGGTGGGACGGTCAGTCTGGCCCTGTCTTTAAGCCTCCCTTAGGTATCTGGTCTTGCCGGGGTTCAGAAGATAGTACAGGGCTGGGCATGTCTCCCAGAAACCTGCAGGACAGGGACTCACTTGAGAGTAGAGTGGCAGCCAGAGAGAAGACAGTGCACGGTCGGGGGGGGGGGGGGGGACAGACAGGGAGCATGGATGGTGCTCTGCAGCTGCAGAGGACCCAACAGGGGAGGACACACTCCCACCAGAGCCAGACAGTGACGGAGGAGCAGGTCATGGGGAAAGGACAGGCGGCCCAGGCAGCCAGGAGACCCCCGAGTGGAAGAGGTTTCAGGGCCCTCAGGGAGCCTGCTTTGGCCCTCCCCTGCAATTGTGGTTCTTGCCACGTGAGGGCAGATGCCCCACACCTGGCCCCGGCAGGCCAGCTTTGAGACGCTGTAAATTCCGGCTCCTCTCCACCTCACCTGTTCCCCACTAAGCTTTTTTTCCCCCCATGTGTATTGCTTCAGGGCAGGCTTCCCCAAACCATGTTCACAAGGGTTCCTCAAAAAACATCTTCCATGGTCAAATAAATTTGGGACATACTGGAATATTCAGCTCTTTCCTTCTACAAAACTTTTCCTAGCCTTTCATATGCCAGCGCACATTGCAGCTCTACAAGGAAACCTGGGGATGGGTTTCTTAAATTTATTTGGCCACAGAACCCTCTTTGAGAGAACAGATGGAACATCTCCAAGGTCCCTTTTGTCATGGGCATACAGTCTAGAAACAGCATTCCAGAGGTCTCCTTTGAGCTTTCTGGGGGCTGTTTCGTGGATGAGAAAACCTGCCCAGGGCCCTAGAGAGAAGCCATTGGTAGAGTCTGGAAGGAGTGGCTTCCCAGAACTTGGTCTTCTGGAAGGCTCCCAGCACCCTGCCTGCCTGCCTGTCTCCAAAGGGCTACCGTTCCAGCTTCACGGGGTCCCAGGCAGGTCAGAAGGGAAGTCTCACCGACCACAGGACAATTAGGCATGAGGTTCCCAATCTCCCCACCCACTTGCCCTAAATCATCCTCCTCTCCACCCCACCCCTGCCCCCCACCACCCACGGAGCAACATCTATGAGAGAGATTTGGAAGATTTGAGCCCTCCCCCAGCCCTGACTCCAGCCCCTGCAGCGATGAGTGTGCCCCAGTGCCCGACTTGGTTTTCTCATTCATCACTGTGCACTTTGATTTCTAACCTGAGCCTCGCGGATGATGCCAGTTTGTTCTGTGATTTTTCCCCTTTTCCTTCTCCAGATGTCCAAACGGATTCTTCGGACAGAGATGTTTGGAGAAACTGCCTTTGCGATTGTACATGCCAGATCCTAAGCAAAGTATGTTTGAAGATAAACACAAGTCCCCGCTCCTTAGAAAGCTTCCGGGTGCAGTCCCCCCCCAACGTAGGGCCTAGGGCCAGGGGTGTTGGTTGTTTTGATCTTTGGCTGTTTTGTTTTTTTTTTGTATTTTGGTTTGTTAGTTCTTTTGTTTTGTTTTGTTTTGCTTTGTTTTTCATTTTTGGCCTAATCCTTGGGTTGCAAGTTCAGGGCCGCAGGTAAGGGGCAGAGTGGCCAGGCCAGTACAAAGCGCTAACGGTGGCAAGGAACCCAGCCGGCATCGGCAGGAGCCCGTGCCGGGGTGTTGCCGTGCCTGTGGCTCGCTATCCTGGCTCTCTCTTTCTGGTTTTCTTTCTTTTGGTAGGTGTCCTGTGGGATACACCGGGGACAGGTGTCAGCAGTTCGCAATGGTCAACTTCTCCAGTATGTCTCTTTCTTCTATTTCTTTCCTTCCCTGGTGACTGACAATCTCCCCGAGCGGGAGGGCTGGGGCCTTGCTTAGCGAGACTTAGAAGGGGCCGGGGGAGCGGGGGGAGCGGTGGTTGTCCTGGGCTCGGCCCTCAGGGCTCACTGGAAGCCTGTCTGGAGGAGACGGATATGCCCCCTGCCACCCCCACCCCACCCACCTCTTCCTCTTTGCGGGGCGCTGGGCACAGTAACACCGCGTGCTCTGTGCAGGCGGCTGCAGCCGCACTCCGGGCAGCACCTCCCAGGTCAGGCAGCCTGGCCAGCAGCAGGGGGAAGCCTGAGCAGGGCCCTCACCTGCCTTTTAAGGCCTGTCTGAGGAGGCCACGTGCTGATGGGGCCAGGCAGCGAGTGTATGCACGTCTGGGCCGGTGTGTTTGAGAGAGAAACAAGTTCTCGGAGAGCCCCAGAGTTTGTTTCGTTTTGATTTGGGGTGATGGGGGAAGGGGGAATGGAGGGAGAACAAGCCCCAGGGCAGTGGTTTCCATGGAGGCCAGAGACCAGAGGCCTTTCTGTGGCTCCAGGATAGGGCGGGAGGGGGGTTTGCTGCCTGCTACGAGATAGAGGGAATGAGGATTCAAGGGATAATGGGTGAGTCTCTCTAGGCCCTCTCTGGTCTCAGTCCCCATCCAGAACTTCATTCCCTTCCTTTCTTCTACTTGTGAGGCTGAAGCTTTCTGGTTTGCATAGTGAGCTGGAAAAAAACGTGAGCCCTGCAGCAGAAAGAGGAGAACGTAATTGTGGAATGTTTTGAGGCTGGGAGCAATTTCTTCAAGTGCCACCAGGTGGAGGTGGAGCAGAGCAGAACCAGGCCAGCTGCGGCGGGGGCGGGGCGGGGGGGTGCGACACATGGGGCCCACGGTCTGTTGGAGGCCCCGCCCAGGCAGCCACCCTCCGGAACACTCCAGGCTCCTGCTCGGCCCACCCCCACCTCCTCCTCTCCAAGGAGGACAGCTGGGTCCTATGCAGAATGAAGCACCAAAGTGGCAGTGCCTGGGCACAGAGAGAGGGAGCTCCAGAAGAGCCAAAAGCAGGATGCAGGGGGAGGGGCGCATTTAGGTGGCCCTTGGGAGGAAAGGGGTTTGCGGGTTTGGGTCTCAGGGTGGAGTGAATGAGTCTTCCCAGTCCTCCTTAGGCCACAGCACAAAAGCCTAGAAATCTTCACCTCCTTCTCCCTGCTAGAGCCTGGAAGCCAGGACTTGAAGAGGAAAGTAGAGGCCCCAGGGAGGTGGGGGCTGGGCAGCCCAGATGGTCAACTGTCTTGGCGGAGTGTGGGAGGCAGCACTCTCCCCAGGCCCCTCCGGTTGGAGGCCAGGGAGGAAGGCTGTGGGGCTAAGAGCAGAGCTGTGGGCAGGGCATGTGGTCTAACAGAATTCTTCGGAGTCCAGGCTCCAGGAAGAATTGCAGAGTCAGATCCAGCCCCACTGGAGGGCCAGAGGTCAGGAGGGGCCTCAGGAGGGAACAGAGCAGCCAGGCCGAGGCTAAGGAGAAGGGTAGAGAGGCAGTGGAGGGCCTAATTCCTTTGCACCCTCCGTCCCAGAGCCTCCCTGCCTTACGGGACTGTTCTGGACAGGGAGTCCCAGCCCATCGTGAATCGGAGGAGCAGAGCCTCCAGGACTCGGCCACTGGCCAAGCTTCTCTGCCAGCTGGGCTGCTTCAACTTTCGGCTCAGAGCTGCTCAGAGGGGCAGCAGGGCCCTGGGACCCCAGAAAAAGCCTAGAAATGCTGCCACAGGCCTTTCTGCCTAGTGTTACCAGGTTCCTTGCTGTTACCTTTTCGGGAGGATTTATATTCTTCACACACTTGGCCCAGAGCACTTCGTGCATTGTTCTATCAGATACTTATTGCAAAGGCAGTAGAAAATGCTAGCCGAAGTGTTCGGGCTTTGGATTCGGACAGATCTGAATGAAGATGCCAGCCAGCTGCTGAGCTTACCAGTTCTGGGGCCTCATTTAACCTCTCTGAATCTGTTTTCTCATCTGCAAAATGGGGACAGTAACATTTATGCCTCAAGGGTTGCCATGAGGAAAAAGTGCAGTGATGTGTAGGAAGGGCTCAGCAGAGAGCCTGCTGCCGTGGTTGGAGGGCAGCTTAGCACCTCTCCCAGCTACAGCTGGTATGGGGTGGGGGGCGGGAGGGCCAGCACTAGTGCCCTGGAGGCTGGCTCCCAGTCCTGAGCAGTGTCTGACTTTTCCCCTCCACCTAGACAGCCTGAAAACCAGATTACCTTTTGCAGTGGCCACAGAAACAGTGCCTGTGGCCACGACAGCACTTTGAAGCTTCTCCTCTTCCCCTGACAGCCCCTCCGTTTCCCAAGAGTCAAACCCTGTGCATCTATATACACCCCAAGTGAAAGAACACCCACACACCTACGGACACACACACACACACAAGCATATACTCGCACATGTGCAAACACATGTACTCACACGTACTCACACAAGCACATGCCTGCACTCATGCAAAGCACATCTGCTCACCCCTGCACACACCTGTGCAAACGCATGAGCACGTGTTCTCATCAGGGGCCCGAATCATGGCCTCCTCGGCCAGGCCCCCGTCACTGCGTGTCATTGGACACGGCCAGGATGATGACTTTGTTGTCTGGTAAACCTGGCATCAGGGAGTCCAGCATCAGGTTGCCATGGTCATTGGTCAGTACCCAGTAGAACCCGTCTGTGATTCAGTGGCCCCGCTCCATCCTGGCGGAGTGGCAGCCTATGAACATGCTGAGCTGGAAACATCTTTGACAGGAGCGGACTTAGCCACAGGCCCCTCAGACTCTATCCCCGGTGAGAGGGAAGCAGGGCTGCCTTCCTGGAGACTGGGGAAGCTCTCAGTGACCTCACCAGTCCTGTCGGCCACCACTGGTCCACCCCAAACAGGACTGGCCTTTGGCCGAAAGGGGAGGTCCCTTAGGAGGCCCAGACGCTGCTGCTGCTGCTTGGTTCCCAGAGCAGGGAAGCAGAAGAAAACTCTTCAATGGCTTTCGGACCCCACGCGCTTCTCTAGGTGGTCATTTTCCTCACGACTAGCAGTTGGGCCCAGAGACTCAATCGGCAGGAAGGGCACTGCCCTTCTTGCTGATGGCCCCCACGTTCTCCTTCCTCTAGAGGAGAGGAGAATGTCAGAACACAATCTCACCCCCTCCCTGGACCTCGCGAACTGACTGTGCCCGCGGGTAGGCCATATACCGGGCTCCTGTACGCACACCGAGCCTCCCGCTGTCCAGGCCGCTCGCCGCTTCCTCTCACTACGCGCAGCCCCTTTTGACAGATGAGGAAACAGAGACTAGACCCGCCCACGTGCACACAGCACAGTAGGGACAAAACTGAGACTTGGAGCCTGCACACGTGTTGACCACATGAGAATGGTAGGTGAGCTTTTCAGAAACACTGTTGAGATCTCTGGGCTCCCCCCCAAGACCCTGATCCCATTGTCTGGGATGACTGTGAAGCCCAGCTGGGTGGCAGAGCTCCCAGAATCCAATTTAACAGAGCCTGAGAGGTGGATAGGCCGAGAGCACTTGGAGATGCAGTGGGTCTGGGGCAGGGCTGATCCTTGGGCATAGCCCTTTGATCTAACCCCTCTAGGGTGTGGGTGCCCACTTCACAGGGCTCTGAAAGCACACATTCACAACAAGATCCCACTTCAGAAAGTGCAGTTGGCCCCCCATTTGACACACGTGTTCCGCAGCTGAACCCACCTGGCTCTTCCTACAAGTTGCTGTTGGCTTTCCTAAGTAGTGAAATCAGGCTCAAACCCCAAGGCCTAGGCCCCATAGGCTTCTAGGGTGTTGGAGGTATGTGGAGAAGTGACCTGCTGCCTGAAGCCTCCTCCCCTCCCCATAAACTCAGGAGTCTCCAGGCCCGGGCTCCCAGTAGGTGGGCAGACCAACCACGCCTTTGGAGGCAGGACACAGACAAGGGCCAGTCTGGGCCCCCCCATGCCCTTGTTCTGAACAGAGAAAAGGGCCCCATGAATGAGCGCAGGGCTGAGCAGGCGGTCTCCAGGAGGGGCGTGAGAATGTGGAAGGCCTGGCACTGGAGCTGGGGGGAAAGCAGGACTCCTCGGACAGGCACCCCACTCACCTTTCCTCCCTGGGGATATGTGCCAACTGACTTTTGCGCCTCTGCCTCCCCACCAGGTACTAACCCCACAGCTTATCTCTAAAGAACCTGCCCTGCCTGCTGATCCTAACATTTCCTCTCTCCAACCCCCTCAGGGCTCTCGGGGACTGGGTGCCAGGGCAGGGGCTCAGGAGGCCGGGAGGGGACACCACTAACCTGCTTTCACCTCACAGGCTGGCTGCTGGTGTCTGAAGAGTCCTGACCAACATTTCTCTCTCTCTCTCTCTCTCTCTACCCCCTGCCCTCCCCCACCCTCCCTGCTCCATCTTTCTCTGTATCTTTCCCTCCATCCCTTCCCCTCTCTGACCCTCCTCTCTTCTGCCAGAGCACCTTGGATTTGAACTAAAGGGTACGGAGCTCTATGTATCAGTCAGTGCCACGCACAGCGCCCCTCTCCACAGCCTCTGACACCATGCGCGCTGGACGTTGAGTCTCCTTTCCAAAACATGGAAAAGGGATGAGTCCAAAAATCTCCCCTGGCCCTACCAAGATGTCCTATCATAAACTACATTGATCTGGGGGAGACAAGAAGCTCAGAATAGCAGAGCACCCCGGGGTTCAGACTGTGCACCCAGGGTACAGCAGCATCCCCTGGCCTGAGGCCAGTCACTGGGAGGCCTCCCAGGGGAACAGCCTCCAGAGCTGGTGTCCTGAAGCCACGGCATCCTGGCCTGGAGAGTTGTGCAGAGAGGCATCCTCTTCAGTTCGACTCTAATCCTCCTTCCCGTTCCCACTTCCATTTCCATTGCTTTTCCTTCTGCACTGCACTGGCAGCTGATCTCACCCATTTGTCTCTGCCCCCTGCCCTGTGTCTGTCTGCCGGGCTCTGCCATCCGCTTGAGGCTGTCACTCCCTCCATGATCTCTCTCCACAATGGCACGCGTGTTCCTCGCCTGTGGGCAAGACAAGCGAGGGTCTAGTGTGGGCTGGCCTCTGGTGCTTGCCCTCCTGCTCCCCGGCTCAGAACCTTACCTCCCTCCCACTACTGTCCCTCGGGCCCCTGGGAGACACCTTGAGTGGGAAGGGACTTGGAGGGGTCAGTCTGTCCTCTCTCTGTGCTGGGAGGCTCCACCCTGGCCTCAAATGTCCAGACATGTTACAGCAGGAGAGAGGCAGGGACTCAGGAGTCGAGGCTTCGGTGGGGTCAGACCTCAGATGCGGTACAGAGCCTACAGTACGAGAAGGCTGTTCTCAAGGCAGGACCGGAGAGGCCCTGGTTCCCTCACCGCCTCGCCCCTATCAGCTCTTCTTGGGAGATAGGGCTCCAAGTCTGTGAAGAGTGTGTCTATCTGCTGATGCTGACAGGTTGGGAGGAGAGGGGCCGAGTCTGCGTGGTGTGTGTGATCGTGGCAGGATGCGTGCGGTGAACCTGCCGGGGGGGGTTGTGCTGTGGGGGGTGGATGTCACACACCTTGTTCGGCCCCCCCGGTGCGGGATGCTGTGTGCATGAAGGCGCGCGGCGGGACATCTTTGTGTGAAGGCTGAGCGTCGTGCAGGTGCAACTGTGAGGGTAGGGAGGTGAGCGGCAGCGTGTGCAGATATGTGTCTGTGTCTGTAATGGTGGTCTGGATGTCCATTCATGCACCAACTCAACAAACATCTACTGAACCCCAGAATTTGCCAGACTATGGCGATCTGGCACACAGAGTCCCTGCCCTCCTGGTGCTCAAATTCACAGGATGAGACAGACAACAAACAGGAAAGATATCAGGTGGTGGTAAGTGCCATACCAAAAATAAAAGAAGGTAATGGGAGGGTGCCTAGCTGGGGAGGGAGTGACCTTAGCTGAGTGGCCAGGAAAGGCTTATGCGATGAGCTAACATCTGGGTCAAAACCTGCTGGAAAGTAGGCAGCCCTGCCAACAAGTGGAGGAGAGTGTTTGAGGAGGGGGCGCGGCAAGTTAGGGACGGTGGGTGGAGTGGGCTTGCCTGATTCGGTGGACAGAGAGAATGGCAGCACCTCTGGACACAGCAGACACGGGGACTGGACCAATGATGAGATGTAAAGGCAAGGCTGGGACTGTAACCCAGGCCTCCGAGGCCATGGTGCGTGTGTGGGCTGGATTCGAATTGCAGGGGGAGGCCATTGTGGGTTTTCAGCAGAGGAGTAAATGATCTGCTGGCTTTGGGGCAGAGAACAAGACAGGGTTGGGAGACGGGCTGGGGAGGAGTGGAAGCAGAGAAGCCAGTCAGAAGGTGCCCTAGCTGTCCAGGTGAGAGGTGACATCATCCCGGACTGAGCTGGAAGTGGTGGAAGTGGTCAAATCCAGAATCTCCTGGGGAGGCGGAGCTAAGAAGACTGGCTGAAGCACCAGGTGTCAGAGCAGGTGCAGAGGAAGGAGTCATCGGCAGTGACTCCAAGGTCTGGGGCCTGAGCAACAGGAGAGGGGGTGCTGCCACTGACGACATGGGAAGGGCAGGGAGCAGGTTTCAAAGAGGCTGGGGAATCAGCACTTCTGCTTGGCCATGGCCCTTGGGTAGAGGAGTCTAGAGCTCAGGGAGAAATCAGGGCGGGAGATACAAATCTGAGAGTCATCTGCATACAGATGGTTTTAAACTCTGAGCTGCGTGAGATCGTGAGAGAGGGCAGGTGGAGGAAAGAAAGAAGGCTGAGAGCCCCTTCTACTACCTTGAGGCCCACATGGAAGAGTAGGAAGCAGCAACTGAACAGGTCAGCCAGTGAGGGAAGCGGACACACAGGAGAGAGGGGGGAGTGGACCCAACAGGGGGAGTCAGCTGGGAGGGAAGCAAATGACCGGGGGACGTGGTGGTAGGAGGTTGTCAGTGACCAGGACCAGAGTGGTCTCAGAGCAGCGACAGGAGACAGATGCCCCATTGGAGAGGACTGGGGGGTGGGCAGGGATGAGAACTGGAGGCAGGACATGGACCACAGAGCCCAGAGTTGGGGGTCCGGGGTGGAGGGCTGTTTAAGACCGCATGATCGTGTGTGTGCATGTGCTTCCCTGGACACGAGCGAGTGTACCTTTGTGAAGGCGGCTGTGTACAGATAGGCATAGTCCTAAAGGTATGTGTGTCTGGAGGGTTTGTACTCCCAGTGTTTGCTGGTGGGTGTACGCAGGAGGTGCTGCAAGCCCAAGGACTTAGGGACATGTCCCGGGGCCCTACCTGGGTGCTGAGGTCTAGCGTCCATGTGCCCCTGTGGAGGGGCCAGCTGGCAGGTGCAGGGAGGGGCAGGGCGGTGTCTAGGCTGCTGCTGTCACCTCTTTCCTTTTCTTCCTCCTGGTCTTCTCTGCTCTAGAAGGGCAGGAGTTGCCCCACCAAGAAGTGGGAGGTGGAGGGGATAGCGGGTTATTTTTTGAGGGCTTTGAAGCCCAGCCTAGCTCAGCTCCTCAGAAAGGGGCTGCTCCTCGAGCACAAGAACCGTCCCAGGGACAAACCAAGGCCTTTCTCTCCATGCCCCACTCCATGGGCCTGGTCTGCTCCATCCCTGTTCCTGGCATCCCTCCTGGGTCCAGCCTCTGATTCTGATGTCCTGTCACCAGCCCAGAAGGAGCCACTCTCCAACTTCTTGGCAAAGCTGAAATGGCAAGCCAGGCCTTTGCCCAGCGTCTGTTCACTGCCATGAAGAACAGCTCTCCCCCACCCATCCAGGCTCTTTGAAGCCACTAGGCCATTGTGGAGTAGGGCAAGGTTGCTGGTCCAGCTGGGTTGCCCTCCCCTATGGCCTCTGAAATTTCACCTCATCCCACCCACCCCCTTCCCCCTGCATTTGCCATTCACATGCTCTGGGCAGGGTGTAAGGTTTGGGAAGGTGAATTCAGGGGTAGTCACTTGGGACCAGATCCATGAGTGGGTAGATTTCGGGGCGAGAGAAGGCAATCCAGGAGGGAGGGGCTAGCCGGGGAAGGAGGAGATGCAAAGGAGCTGGGAGGCCCTGAGCTGGAGGGAGCCCGAAGCTTTGGGGGCAGAGGGGAGGGTGTCTTTGCATCACTGTCCCCACAGATCTGCCTCCTGCACTGCCCCCTCACACCCTCTTCCTCTGCCTCTGCAGAAGCCGAGGAGCTGTACCAGAAGAGGGTCCTGACTATCACCGGCATCTGCGTGGCTCTGCTGGTGGTGGGCATTGTCTGCGTGGTCGCCTACTGCAAGACCAAGTGAGCGCCAGACACTCAGGCCTGCAGGGGGCCAGCTAGGGATGCGCCTCCAGGGTGGCTTTCGTGAGGACAGTCTCTCTTCGCCCCCCACACACCCCCTCCCCACCCTCCTATGCCCTAACAGCCCCTTCAGGGGCCTCTGCAGCTGGTGCAGGGCCAAAGGGCTGGGCCAAGAAGCAGGAGCAGAGGGTAGAGGAGACAGGCCCCAGAGGAGTGAACAAGAATCAGTAAGAGCACAAGTGTCGGAAGAAGGCAGATCTGGGTTCGAATTCAGCTCTCCCATGTGCCGTGACCCTGAGCAAACTGATGGACCTCTCTGAGTCCTCATCTATAGAGTAGGGATGATCCTAGTAGGTACCTCGGAGGGCACCGTGAAGGAGCATCTGCCCTGTCAAGTAGGCAGGCGCGGGGGCAGTGTTGGGGGTGAGGAAGCACAGAGAGGAAGGCTACATTCCCAGGGGACAAAGAGACCTCGGGAGGCACTGTCTAGTCCCATCTGGGAGAGGTCTAGGCCAGAACACAGAGAAGATGGGGCCAGGTCCCCTCTGGGCAGAGGAAAGGTGAGGGCAGGTCCTCGGGGCAGAACCTCGGGGCAAGGGAAGAAAGGTGCAGAAAGCAGGCTGCGCAGTTCCTAGAGAATAGTGCAAGCTGCCAGACAAAAGCCGGAAAGGGTCAGTCGTGTTTCTAGAGCATGAGCAGCCCAGACCAGTTGGAGCAAAGGCCTGGGGTCAAAAAAAAGAGAGGTATGAGTCTAAGGAGACAGCTGGAACCCAGATGGTACCATAGGGCACTAAATCCCAAGCTAGGCAGCCTGGGTTTATCCTGTAAATGACAGGGAGCTCATGAAGGCTGTAGAGTGATGTAATACAGACAAAAATGATAGCTCTGTCCCATCCATTCTTATCTAGAAAGCAAGGGTATGGGCATAACCATCATTTAGGGCACTGAGTCCCTCAGTCTTGACTCCCACTACACCTATCTATGGGATCTAAGGCCCTGCCAGCCTTGGGAGTTAAGGCCCAAGGAACCCAGAGCAGACTGGGCCCAAGAAGGAAAATTGAGGTCAAGAACTGGGGGGAAAGCAAACCCCTATTCTAACCTCCAGTACATTTATCCGTTTCTTGAACAAACTTTCATTCGATGCCTGCTGGATACCAGGCCCTCCGCCAGGCGCATGGTCAGGGCTCTAAGCGACGGGATACGTCACAGAGGGGCCGAACCTCGGGTGGAGGGCAAGAAGGGTTTCCCTGAGGAGGGACCTTTTAGGCTGAGCCTGCGGGGAGAGCAGGCATTGGCAGGTGAAGAGGCTGAGTACATCCCAGGGGTTGTAATAGTACGTGCAGAGCTGCTGAGCCCAGAGAAGGCCGGCATAAGGGAGGATCAGAAGGAAGCCCTCCAAGGATACGGCAAAGCTGGGGTGTGGAGAGGGCCGTGAGAGAGGGCCCATGAAGGGCGTTCAGCGGGGCACTGACGTGACTAGACTTGATCATTACAGGACAAACGTATTAGGCACTTAATATGGCCAAAGTAAAGTAGTCCCATGAGCCCCTGACCACAGCTTTGTTTTGTTTGATGGTCCTCGTTGCACTTTCCTGAAAGTACCTTGCTCATTAATTTGTTTATTAATCTGCCTCCCCTACTGGCCTTCGAGCTCCATGAGGGTAGGGATTGTGTCCGTCTCCTTCTCTGTTCCAAAACAGCATCAGGCACATAGTAAAAACCCAAGAAATAGTGAGTGAATGAGTGAATGGACCAGTGCTTGAGTATTTTATCAGCTCTTAATTCTCAGCGGACTTTGCAATGGGTAAGTGGTCGCCCTCTGTAAGATGAGCAAAGCACAACATGGCGAGTGTAAGTAACTGGCCCAGGATTACACAGCTAGGAAGTAGTGGAGTTCTAGTCTCTCAGCAGAGCCAAAGCGCAGAAGCGCTCTGCTCCGGTCCTGCCAAATTCAAGCTGGTGGTGACGGTGGAGGTGGCAGGTGGGCGGCGTCCTGGCTGAGAGCAGTAGCAGGAGACTGCCCCCGGCGGGGTGGGGGGGGCGCATCGGCATCGGGGCCAGAGGTTAGAAGAGTTCCCCTGCAGGGACAGCGTGGGAATTTCATACACAGCGTGGGGGACATGCCAGGCTAACACACCCTTCTCCTGTGCAGAAAACAGCGGAAGCAGATGCACAACCACCTCCGGCAGAACATGTGCCCAGCCCACCAGAACCGGAGCTTGGCCAATGGGCCCAGCCACCCCCGGCTGGACCCCGAGGAGATCCAGATGGCAGATGTGAGTGGTCTTCCCAGAACCCCACTGGAGCCCTCACTGGATAGCCGGCCTTGTCGTGCCCCCTGCCGGGCCGGACCAGGGCAGCAGCCGGCCCACACCATGTTCAGCCTTGCCTGCTAGCCTAGCCTCACCAGGATGGCTGGCCTCGCTTTGCCCACTTCCTGAAGGGGTTGATTTGCTGGGGCCATCGCTGCCCTAACACTTATCCAGCAGACCACTCCCCAACCTGAAGCTTAGCGCGCGGCTGCCCCATCCCCACCAGGAAGGAGGGCCCACTCAGTGACCCGTCACTAACTCCTGCCACACTGTGTCTATTGCAGTACATCTCCAAGAACGTGCCAGCCACGGACCATGTCATCCGGAGGGAAACCGAGACCACCTTCTCTGGGAGCCGCTCCTGCTCTCCTTCTCACCACTGTTCCACAGCCACACCCACCTCCAGCCACAGGTGGGCACCAGCCAGGCGCATGTCTGCCTGGAGACACCCAGAGAACCCCCCAGCCAGGCTCGCCTCTGTATTGAGGGTCCCCCTGAGTCAGAGGAGGGAGGTGGAGAGCTTCAGACCAGAACCCACCACTAGACGTTCATCCAGATCCTCAGCAGCCCAGATCCCCTTTTCCAGTCTAAACCGACCACAGAGGGACGGCAGCATCCCTGTGCTCTCACCTGACATTTAGTTTTGGCACCACGTTATCTGGCATAAAGTGCCTCCTCATTCAAACACCCACACCTGTTTGATGCCCTTTCCTGAGTTTGCCCATATGAACCTAGTCCACCTTAGCTTCCTTTTCTTTAGAGTGGGGAGGTCTGTCTGGCCAAGGACAAAGGTTCATAGAGCTCAAGAAATAACATGGTTGGCCTCCTTCTTCCCTGGGGAGCGGTATGGACTAGGCAGGGCCCCCAGGTATTGGCCCCTGGGGCTGCGCTCCTGACATAGGTGGCTAAGGACCATGGGAGTGGAAGGGTCCCAGACAGGGGGCCCCGGGCCGAGGCTGGGGGGGAAGAAGGTTGCACGGAGGAAAAGAAGAGACTCGTGCACATGGCAGCTCCCCCATCCACAGGACACTCAGCCCTCCTTCTCCCTAGATCATGATATGACACGCTGGCTCAGAGTGGAGAAGGGCAGTACTCTGAGGGTGCCTGAAATGAAATGAAGAACCTGGGAGGGGGTGGGCCTGGGACCACCCCTGCTGGGCTGTCCTGCCCCTTCCTGATCCCTCACCTCTCCCCCACCCGCCTTCTGCAGGCATGAGAGCCACACATGGAGCCTGGAACGTTCTGAAAGCCTGACCTCCGACTCGCAGTCAGGCATCATGCTGTCATCAGTGGGTACCAGCAAGTGCAACAGCCCGGCGTGCGTGGAGGCCCGGGCGCGGCGGGCAGCAGCCTACAACCTGGAGGAGCGGCGCAGGGCCGCCGTGCCACCTTACCATGACTCCGTAGACTCCCTGCGTGACTCCCCACACAGCGAGAGGTCAGTTCCTGCCTCGTGCCCTCTGCCCCACCTTGGCCAGAGAACGGGCACCACTGACCCAGGGCTGACCCTTAGGGCACCTCAGAGACACCCCAAAGATTCTCCTGTCCATATTTCTGATTGGCCAGCAAGGTCCCCGAGAGGTTCAATGATCTGCTCAGGGTCACCAGCATGTTCACGACAGACTGGGATTGCAGCTAAGCCAATGGACCCCGGTGTGGAGTGACCATCTAATTTAATTGTCCTACTAGGACACTTTCCAAAATAGAAGGGGATGTTAATAATTGCACTAGAACATCAGGAACAAATGGGGGCTGTTCCGGACAAACCAGACCATATGGTAGGCCTACCCTGGCGTCACCCAGAGGGCCCATGGCCCAGCAGGAACAGAAAGACACCAAGATCGAGCAGATTGGAGGGTGGGAGGGGAGGCTGTCTGCAAGGAGACTGACCAGTGCAGGCTGGGCACGAGCCAAGAATGACTGCAGGCCCTGGCAGCATCAGCAACAAGGCCCACGGATCAAGACACCATTGAGTTTCCGAGCAATGGATGGAGTAAGAACCAGGAAACTCCCCTTCTCCCCGCCAGGAGTCACGGGAGGCCAGTCCATCACCTTGCTCAGCCCCCTAGTGGCCCTTAGCAAGTGGGGTCTGTGGGAGGAGAGCAGAGGAAAGCGCATAGTACTGGGAACTCCAGGCTGGAGTAGAGGGAGAGGAAATGTTCTCCTGCTCTAACTTAGCCTACTCCATGCCAGCCCTCGCTGAGCAGGCCTGCCTGGGAACCCAGAGATGGCCCACTTGGTTCTTGCTCCCAAGGAGCTCCGAGCCACAGACACAAACCACTGAAGCTCACAGCCGCCTAAGGAACGTGCTAAGGACAGGCCATCTTACCAGGGCAGAGACCCAGTCTGACTCCAGGCTCTAGGAAGCAACCAGGTTTTCCAAGACCAACCTTTCAAAGCCCAACTCCACCACCTGTGTGATTTAGAGCGGACTGATCACCCCGTGCATTGTTTCCTCAGCTGTAAATCATGAAAAACCACCTGTCACGTGGGGTTCTCATGAAGGCCATCAGAGATCATATGCACGAAGATCTCTGCCTCCTACCCAGCTATGCTAGGTTTAGCTGTTGTTTTCAGTAGCGATAGGACTCCTTAATGGTTGGGAGGTAGAGAGACAGGGAGAGCACTCCAAGCAAGGGGAGCATCCTGAGCTGTTCCAGCAGAGGCATTTCAGAATATGGCTAGTGAATGAGGTGCCCGGAGCAGGGTGAGCTGTAGGGAGAGTGGAGTCTGAACAAAGTAGGCTGGGGTCAGGGAGATGGCTGATGGCCCAGGGCTCTGCTTAGAATGTGGGCCCTGGATGGGTAAGCAGAAGGGCCTCCTTAAGCAAAACAGTGACGTTAAAAGATTGCTCTGGAAAGTGCATACAGTAGATGAGAGGCCCTGGAGTGGGGTAATGACCAGAGCAAACTAGGCCCAGGATGGGGTAGAGCAGGGCACAGGGTGTGTTGCAGGAGATGGGAAATGGTAGCTAATTGGATGTGCATGTGGGAGAGGGAAGAGAGGGAAGGCAGGAGATTCAGAGAGTAATGGGGACTCTGGAGAGCACTGAAGTATAAGTCCTGGTTCCGGCCGTCAGGTCGGATCAAATCGGTTCAAATCCCAACTCTACCACTTCCTGGTAGTGTGAACCCTGAACAAGCCACTTAAATGTTCTGAGTCTCAGTTTCCTCAGGTGTAGTATGGGACTAACATAAAGGTCTTAGAGAATCACTGTTATTAGATGAGATAGTACATGGAAAATGCCCCAGCCTGAGCCTGACCCAAAGTAACCATTCAGAAACCTGGTGACTGTGAGCATCCCCCACACCAAAGGATCATTCATGGAGGATAATCAGGCAGGCACTGGCATTCCATTTGATACATTTATGGAATCATCCCAACGACACCATGGAATGAGCACTCTGGTTATCCCCGCTGAATAGATAAGGCAACTGAGCCTGGGAGAGGTTAAGGAAATTGTTTAAGGTTAGTGGGGATTCCTGCACCATGATTCCTACACACGGGATCCCAGGCAAGACCGCGGCTTTCCGTCGGGATCCACCCCTTCACCCCACCCCCTAGCCCCCCGCCCACGCCTCTGCCTCTCCCTGCAGGTACGTGTCGGCACTGACCACGCCCGCGCGCCTCTCTCCCGTGGACTTCCACTACTCGCTGGCCACGCAGGTGCCGACTTTTGAGATCACGTCTCCCAACTCGGCGCACGCAGTGTCGCTGCCGCCGGCCGCGCCCATCAACTACCGCCTGGCGGAGCAGCAGCCGCTACTGCGGCAGCCGGCGCCCCCCGGCCCGGGGCCCGGGCCCGGCGCGGACATGCAGCGCAGCTACGACAGTTACTACTACCCCGCGGCGGGCCCGGGGCCGCGGCGCGGAGCCTGCGCGCTGGGCGGCAGCCTGGGCAGCCTGCCCGCCAGCCCCTTCCGCATCCCCGAGGACGACGAGTACGAGACCACGCAGGAGTGCGCGCCCCCGCCCCCGTCGCGGCCGCGCGCCCGCGGCGCGTCCCGCAGGACGTCGGCGGGGCCCCGGCGCTGGCGCCGCTCGCGCCTCAACGGGCTGGCGGCGCAGCGCGCACGCGTGGCGCGGGACTCGCTGTCGCTGAGCAGCGGCTCGGGTGGCGGCTCGGCCTCTGCCTCGGACGACGACGCGGACGGGGCGCTGGCGGCCGAGAGCACGCCTTTCCTCGGCCTGCGTGCGGCGCACGATGCGCTGCGCTCGGACTCGCCGCCTCTGTGCCCGGCGGCCGACAGCAGGACTTACTACTCCCTGGACAGCCACAGCACGCGGGCCAGCAGCAGACACAGCCGCGGGCCGCCCCCGCGGGGCAAGCAGGACTCGGCGCCCCTCTAGGGGTCCCCGCCGCCCGCCGCCCCCTCCGCCTCGCCTGCCCCACTGTCTTTAAGGAGAACAGAGACCACCGCCTGGAGAGAGAAAGGAGGAAAAAAATAAAAATATTTTTATTTTCTATAAAAGGAAAAAGGTATAACAAAATGTTTTATTTTCATTTTAGCAAAAATTGTCTTATAATACTAGCTAACGGCAAAGACGTTTTTATAGGGAAACTATTTATATGTAACATCCTGATTTACAGCTTCGGAAAAAAAAAAGAAACAACAAAAAAAAGAGATGGGCCAATTTTTTGACTCTTTAATAGAAACCTATATTGTGGTGCCTTTTGCTGTACGCTAATCTGGAGCTCCTGGAGAGAAGTCGGGTTGTGGGGTGGGGTGGGGGTGAGGGGAATGTAGGATCCCAAGCTGGCAGGGGTGAGAGGGAGCCGGCAAAGAAGGGGCTGCTGGGTGCTGGTGGGGGCAGGGAGGGGATTGGCCCTGAGGAAGGAAATGAGGACAGGAGTAGCTTTGCCCCCAGGCAGGATCTTGAGTCCCCGACCCCCCCCTGAAGAGAAGGCAGGGATCCTAGGCTTGGAGCTAGAGTCGGGATCAGGTAACATTCAGGGGGAGACTTAAGGCCCAGCGACAGCAACCAGAATGGGGAGGGGGCCTCCCCACTCCTTACAGCTGCTAAGGGAGGGGGCAATGAGAAAGAGGTCTTCCCAACAGTCCCGGCCCCAGGGTGGGGGCAGCTCTACCAGGGCCCCAAAGTTCCGGCTCCTCCTCCCCTGTGGCCTCCAGGATGCCCTTCCGTCCTCTGCAGCACCTTCGTTTACAGGTTGTCTTTTCTATTTTATGCCTGCATGTCCTTTGCATTTCAGATTCTTTAGATTGGATGCATGGTCACGCTGGGACCGAGAAGAGCCACTCCACAGTGTATTTGATTCCCCTTTTAGCAATAAAGTAACACCATTTCTTCCAGACCCCAAGCCACCTATGACTTCCACTCCCTCTCCAGCCCTGTCCTCCCCACCCCCGCAAAACTGGGTCCACTGCTAATTTGTCAAAAAGGTAATTGTTTAAAAAAAACACCGAACAAACAAATGGGAACCCTGCCCTGAAATGTCCAAACACCTGACTGTTGACACTTGAACATTTTTATATTATAAATAAAATCAGAAATAACTCATGTTTGATTGTGTGTGCCTAGCCCCCAGGTGAGGAGAGAAGACAGAGAATGAGGACCTGGGTGGAGATGGATGGATGCTGGTGTGGAGATTGGAGAGGGCCAGGGTAGTCCCAGGGAGGAAGAGACCGTCCCTCTAATCTCCCTGACTTCAGCTCCTAGGACAGGCAGCATCCCTCCTCCCTTTTCCAAGAATATTCACAAGGTTCCCCCCAGCTGCTGGGGAACCCGGCCAAGGGGCTGATGCATAGTACTCTGCTTTGAGCTCAGCCTCAGAACCCTGGCCCAGTTCCTGCCCTGGAGCTACTGGGGCTGCACTGAGACAGCAATTTCCCACCTACGTGGGTGAGGAGGGAAGGCTTGCGGGGTTGGCACTGGGGCAGCTGAGGCAAGATGACCCTTGGGGCCTCAGGCATTTCACAGGCAAAGCCCGGACATGCAAGATGGCATAATGGGTACCCTTGGCTGCCAGGAAGACCACAGCTGCTGCAGCTTGTAAACCCACAGGGTGTTGTGCTTTTCCCAACTTTATAGCCCCTCAGAGCCAGGGCCTGTCTAAACCTGCAGCCCTGATGAAGGCATGGAGAAGGCAGATGGAGGTCCAGGGTTAAGAAGCCTTTTCACTCATTGATTTATTTGTTAAACCAGTGCCCAGGGCCAGGAACCCTTATGTTCCAGCCAGACACAAGGGAGTCTTCTATCCAGAGGGCTCAGGTAGTTGAGCGCGCGCATGCGCAAATGCCCCCCAGAATGTGTGTGGTCAGTTTAGAGCCCTACCAATGGGAGGGCCGGAGAGGCTTAAGGTTGAGAGGGGCTGAGTTCGGTTCCAGCTCTGCCCCTCTCTGGCGGTGTGACTTTTCCTCAGCTATTAAGTGGTGATCCTGATACCTACCTCAAAGGGTTGCTGTAGCGATTATATGTAAAGCACCCGGAACTGCTTCTGGCACATGATGCCTAGTAATGGCTAATTTGATGATGATGATGATGGCATCCTGTGCCTTGCATTCTTGAATCACACAGAGAATGGCAAAAACTAGATGAAAGGGAGGTGATGGGGAAAAGTAAAGAACTAAAGTCATTGTGTTCACTGTGGGGGTGCTGGGAAAAAAGCACCTGTTACAAAGAAACAAAGGAAATAGTGAACTAAATGGTATATAAGCCTGCAAATCACTGGTCTCTCCCAGGCCCCATCTGGTGATCTCATCCAAATCCCTTCCTGGCTCTGAGTTAGTTTGCTGTTGGCTTTAAAATTTTCTGACAGCCAATAATTCCTCTATGTGACTTCTGACCTCTTTGTGAACCCCCATAATTGTGGACGACCTCTTGGTGAACCCATTGGCCTTTTCACGACCCCTCAGTGTCAAATTGACCCTTCTGAGGGCTCTGAGTTGCTGTTACCATCTAAATTTTCAGTCAGAAACCACTCTATGACTCCAGTGAACCCACTGACCTCTATGTGAACCCCAGTAATTGTGACTGACCTCTTGGTGAACCCCCTGGTCTTTTCATGACCCCAGGTAATTGTATCAAATAATTTGGTAGCTTGCTTATCTGCTCTGGATTCTAAAACACCTACCAAGATGCCAAGAGTCTATACGGTCAGAACCTAATGGAATTCGCCACCCATTCATTTCACAGGTGTGAATGGGACCTGGGAGAGGTGTGGCCAGAGAGGCTCATTTTCCACTCTGCCTCCCAAATTTCTGCCTTGGCGTGTCTTTAGTCTGGCCCCTCAGGAAGAGGTGTAGCCCTGTTGACTTCCCTACTACCACCTTGTCCCCCAGGACCACTTAGGACATTCAGGCGGCTTCCTGAGTCAGAGTCTTCTTCCCCACTCCAGTTCTGTCTTCTTCTCTCTGCCAGGTCAGTTTTGGCTTTCTCCCCAGTGCTCCCAGGGTCCCCATTGGTAATGGTGACTCCCTGTCCCCTCCCCACTAGACTGTGAGCCCCATGTGGGACAGGGAGCTGCTCGGTCCTTTTCTCACCACACTATCCTCAACACCTAGCACAGTGGGCAGCACTGGTGACCTTCACTGAGTGAGAAAAGAAATACTGTGGTCAAGGGTCAGCCCCCAGAAGTCCCTGCGCCCGTAGCCACTTCCCAGGACCACCAGGTGGCGCAAACCACTTATTGCATCTCACCTGTGGTCCTCCAGCCCCTGGATTTGGACAGTCCTGGAAAATGGGCATATTAGGGGCAGAAGTTGGGGGGAGGGGAATATGATGGTCCATTAGAGTGCAGGAAAAAAAATATTAGAACTTTGATTTAGATTTATTTTCATCTCATCTTTTTAAATTTCTATTTTTGTGTATGTTTTATAATGTACATAATATTTTAGTACAGTAGTACATGTATATAATTTACAATAAATAATTATACAATTAAGAAAGTGAACTAAAGATTTTTTTACTGATGGGAGACATCACTAGCACTCAGGGAAGCCTGTCTGCAGCAGACAGAAGCTTGCTTCTCTGCTTTCACTCACCCACCCTCATGAGGTGGAGGGTGGGAAGCTGACCCCAAAAATCCAAGACCTTAGAGCCAGCATGGAGAAAGTACAGAAAGCTCTTTTATGTTACATTGCTCTTTCAACTTCATTTAAATGAACATTTACTTCCCCCCAGCAAAACGAAGGGGCCAGATGGTTTGGGTGTAAAATACACTTCAGCTGATCCCAATTCAATCATCTGGATTTAAATCACTACATATTTCCACAGACTCATACGTCCCTTGCATCAAATGTGAGCGTGCTTGAACCGTTAGGTACTTATTAAGATAAGCCAACCTTGCCACTAACTAAATATATTACCACTGAGGTCAAATTGCTGCCCAAACTAATCTATTTTAAAAATATAAGGGATCTGCTCATCATAGCTCATTGAAGGCCCATCACCTCCACTGCCGGTCCGTCTGAGGAATTCAGGGTTTACGAGATACTAGTCTGTGATCATGTGGCAAATTTTTCTATCCTTCCCAGGCATGTCCTGAGCTAGCATTTCTGAGTCACTAGAAGAATGAAAGAAATATCAGCTTAAAAACCAATCAGCAACTTCTTACTCCACCTTTTCCCAAGATCGGGAATTAATGGCTTCCATAACCTTCCTCCACCAAACATCTTTGGGCTTGTTGACAAGTGGCTGTTTGCAAGGCAGAGTGTCTTTTATTCCCGGAGCAGTAGATCTGTACAAGAGGCCACCTCTGGAGCTCAGAGACCTGGCAGCACCAACATAAAGACCAAAATATAAACAGGGCCATGGTCCCATCCCACTCACACCCCAGAATGCCTGTGGGACGGGGGGGTGGCGCGCACACACACACACACACACACACACACACACACACACTGGCTATTTATTCCAAACACCAACTGTCAGAGCAGTGTGAGTCACAGGTCAGCCGGAAGAGGGGCAAAGGGGCTACGAGAAGGTCCGCACTGTCTCCACCTTCTCTCCCAGAGTGTCTGGGCCACCAACGGGCCAGAGAGCAGCCCTCCTTGCTAACAGGTGGAGTTCCGGAATAGGCTTTTCCTTCATCTTATTTCATCTTAATATCAATTCCAAAATCATCTTTCAAGGGGTCCCTTATTTATATATACAATTCTTGTATGTATACATTGTTGTCCATATAAAAGAAAGCAGTAGTGGCCTCCAGAAATGGAAGGTGAGGTGGCCACACACGTGAGTAGACAGCTTGACATCAAGGGAGCAGGCCCGGGTCCGGGATTATTGCAAAGGGAGGCAGGAGAACAGGGCATGGTTCCAGAAGCTCCTGGGTGGAGGGAGGAGAGGATGGGGCTGCTGGTCCGCAGACCTGCAGCTGGTCAAGTCTGAGGAAGGAGGAGGAGAAGAGGTGGGGATCCAAGCTGACACTGGAGTCCAGACCCACCCTTGGGAACAAGGGAGATGTGGGAAGGAACTTGTGAGAAGGGGAGGAGGGCCTGGGAAGCCAGCTGCCCTTCCTCCTCCTCCAGTGAGATCGTGTCTAGAGCATGCACACAACTGGCCTACAAAATGAGGCTCCGCGGTGGGGAGGAATGTGAGGGCTGGGGAGAAGGTCTGAGGCCCAGATGAACCCCAGGATGCAAGATCAACGCCACGAATAGCATCTCCATCTCCTTGGCCCACGGGGCTCTCCGCACCCCTCTAGCTGCCTGTCAACTGCCTGGAGCTGGCGCAAGTGGTCCCTGGCTGGAATTGTGCTCACTGACCCCTCTGGGGACATTTGCCTGCCTCTGGGGCCTGCCCATCCATGCCAGCTAAGTATCAGGCCCGGTGGTACCCTTCCTGGCTTTGCTGCCAGTCACAGTTCCGGGGCCCTGACTGAGGGCGGGGCTTGAGTGTGTCTTGCGGAGAGAAGGATCCTCCCCTTCCAGAGTGGCCAGCCGGGCCTCAATCCGCTCCAGGTCATCGGAGCCCACTTTGATTTTCACAGCCAGGAGGTGGATATAGGTCTCATATCGGCTTTTCTAGAAAAAAGGCAGAGAAAGGCCAAAAACAAAGTCAAAGGACAAACAACAAAACGCAAAAAAAAAGTATTTGGACCTTATGTGACAAAAGACTAATTTCCTTAATACTCAGAGAGCTCTCACAAATCAATAAAAAGGAGATAAACAATCCAATTAAAAAATAGGCAAGGGACATACACAAAACTTTTACTTATAACTTTAAAAAATTCAAATTAAGTGGCAATGATTTCTTGAGTATAACAGCAAAAGTACAACCAAAATAAAAGTTGACAAGTGGGATCACAAAATTTAAAACTCGTGTGTATCAGGGGCACCTGGGTGGCTCAGTCAGTTAAGGGTCTGCCTTCAGCTCAGGTCATGATCCCAGGCCCTGGGACTGACCTACCCCCTTTGGGCTCCCTGCTTCAGTGGGAGTCTGCTTCTCCCTCTCCCTCTGCTCCTCCTCCTGCTTGTGCTCTCCTTCTCTCTCTCTTTCTCTCTCTCTCTCATAAATAAGTAAAAAATAATCTTTAAGTGAAATAAATATGCCCTTAAATAAAATCTTTAAAAAAAAAAAAAACTCATGTGTATCAAAGGACAATCAATAGAGTGAGAAGGCAATCCACAGAATGGAAAAAAAATTTGCAAATCCTATATCTGATAAGGATCTAATATCTAGAATATATGAAAAACTCCTACAATTCAACAACAAAAATATAAACAACCCAATTTAAAAAGGGCAAATGTCTTAAATAGACATTTCTCCAAAGAAGACATACTAACAGTCAATAAGCTTACAAAACGATATTCAACATCAGTCATCATCAGGGAAATGCACATCAAAACCACAATGAGATACCACCTCACATCTATTGGAACATCTACTATCAAAGAAAAATCAGAGAGTAAGTGTTGGCGAAGATGTAGGGAGACTAGAACTCTCATGCACTGCTGGTGAGAACCATGGCACACGGCCGTAGAAAACAGTCTGGGGGCACCTGGTGGCTCAGTTGATTGAGCATCCGACTCTTGGTTTTGGCTCAGATCATGATCTCAGGGTCATGAGATGGAGCCCCGCATAGGGCTGGCTCTGTGCTCAGCGGAAAGTCTGCTTGAGATTCTCTCCCTCTCCCTCTCTCTCTGCCACACTCTCTCTAATAAATAAATAAATCTTTACACACACCCAAAAAGGAAACAGTATGGCTGGTCTTCAGCAAGTTAAAAATAATATTGCCTTGTGCTCCAGCAATACCACTTCTGAGTATACAACCAAAAGAATTTAAGGCAGGGTCTCAGAAATATTTGCATACCCATGTTCATAACAGCACTACTTACAAAAGCCAAAGATGAAAGCAACCCAAATGTCCAGCAGCAGATGAAAAGATAAAGGAATGTGGTATCTAGATACAATGGAATAGTATTCAGCCTTAAAAAGGAAGGAAAGTCTAATACATGCCACATCATGGATCAACTTGAGCATAAGCCAGGCACAAAAACACAAATTCTGTATTATTCCACTAATACGCAGTAACTAGAGGAGTCAAATTCGCAGAGATAGAAAATAAAATGGTGGTTGCCAGGGGTGGGACAGGGGGAGGTGGGGAGGAGCTGCCCTTTGATGGGTGTAGAGTTTCAGTTTGGGAAGATGAAAACGTTCTGGAGATTGGTTGCACAACAGTGTGAGTAGACTTAATACTACTGAACTATACACTTAAAATGGTTAAGATGATAAATTTTATGCTATGTGTATTTACCACAATTTAAAAAAAATTTTTTTAAGATTTTCTTTATTTGAGAGAGAGAGACAGAGATAGCACGAGCAGGGATGAGAGAGAGAAGCAGGCTCCCTGCTGAGCAGGGAACCTGACACAGGGCTTGATCCTGGGGCCCTGGGATCATGACCTGAGCCCAAGGCAGACACTCAACCAACTGAGCCAGCCAGGTGCCCCACACAATTAAAGAATTTTTGATCCAAATTAAAATAGCAATGAGATACCCCTTATTAAACCTATCAGATTGATGATGATTAAGACATTCAGGAGTGTCCAGTGTTGGTGAGGGCATGAACAGACAAGTACATTCATAAGCTATTTAAAGTATTATAAATTGTGGGGGCACCTGGGTGGCTCAGTCGTGAACCATCAGACTCTTGATTTCGGCTCAGGTCATGACCTCAGGGTTGTTGAGATCAAGCCCTGTGTCAGGCTCCATGCTGAGTGTGGAGCCTGCGTAAGATTCTCTCTCTCCCGGGGAGGTGGGGGGGGGGATGGGGTAACTGGGCGACTGGCATTAGGAGGGCACATGACATGATGAGCACTGGGTATTATATGCAACTGATGAATTTCTGAACTCTACATCTGAAACTAATGTACTATATGTTGGCTAATTGAATTTAAATTAAAAAAAAAAAGATTCTCTCTCTCCCTCTGCCCCTTTCCCCCCCCTCAAAAAAATGCATTATATAAATTGGTAAACGTTTAGGAGGGAAATTTGGCCAGCCATGTCTGAGAGCCTGACTCTGAGCTTCCAGCCCTCACCACGGTCAGGAGAGGCTGAGGTCCTAGAAGAAGCAAAGACTAAAGGTGAGGAGATATTGTTCTCACGCAACTCTGCCCCATGAGCAGAAAGACCCTTCATTGCTGGGCTTCACCTCCGCTACACACCCCCCTCCCCCAGTTAAGCCAGTGGGAAGTGAGAAAGACCTGAGTGCTGGAGTTAGAATCAATCGCCTAGGTTAGGATCCTAGCTCCTACACTTCTTAACTGTCACCTCAGGCAAGTGATCTGCCCTCTCCAAGCCTCAATTTTCCCACCTGTGAAATGGGGATAACAGAACCCATTTCAACAGAGTTGACACGAGGATTAAATCCATCAGTACAAGGGAGTGAAAGTGATCATGCTTGACAATTGGCAAGTGATCAGTCCACTGTAGCTTTTGCCAACCCTTTTTTTTCTTACATTGCAGACAGAGTGGGTCTGAGAAGACTTTGAAAGCAGTACAGTTTTGTTTTTCAAAAGGTCAGGATATCTCTTGGGAACTCTCCTCTCTTCCTCACACCTCAGTAGAAAATCAATGTAGAAATCCAGAGACTGAGATGGGTGACTTCCTGCCCTTCCTGCCCCAAAGGCTCAGTCTCAGCCTTTATATTGTCCACCCCCGCCTGCAGGTCAATACACAGGCCAGTCCAAAAGGGACAAGTGGTTCCTGCCTCCCTCCTCCAGGCTGACCCCCTCTCCGTCCCCCAGTGAAGGCGATGCTCGGTCAGCCCCATTTCCAGAGCATCAGGAGGCAGAATCAGGGCGGGGGGGGGGCCGGGGAGAGACAAGATGGAGAGAAGGGAGAACTTAGCTGCTGTGCTTGATAAACATCTGCGGAAGAGGAAAAGGAGACAAAAGCGGGGTAGGTCACGCACGTGGGCTTGAGCTGTCTGTGGTTGAGCTGTAAGAGCTCCCCAAGAGGCTGGGTCATGGGGGGAGTGGAGGTGAGGAGTGGCTCGGAGAAGGGTGAGGCCCACCTGGTGCTCTCTGAGAGACACAAGTGAGGGCACAACTGTTTGGTTAACAATTGGCAGCTGGACTGTGCAGAGACTGGCCCACAGGAGGCCATGCATGGCTCCTGACTGCCTCAGGGGAGCCCCCAAAGTGGAGAACCCCCAAACCAGGAGCCCCTGGCTGCAGAATGATGTTGGTGACAGGAGGGAGAAGAGCTGGCTTCCTCCTTCTGCCCCAGCCCTGTCCTTCGCAATCAGCCCCAAGGAAAACCCACCTCAAAAGTGAGATAGTGCTCCTTCAGCCGGTTCTCCTCAGCCTCCTTGGACTTGACGCCCTTCTCAATGGGGTGACACCTGTGCTCAGCCAGCTCCGCAGTCACCTGCCTCAACTTATTCTCATGAGAACGCAGCTGCTCCTCCTGCATAGACAAGTCCCAGACTATGAGGTTCCACTTTCAAGGCGTCAAAGGCATGGGTCTAAACCTGTCATGCTGGGTCTGCTTCAACAAAGGGAAACTGAAGCCTGGCCAGGGTCATCAAGTATGTGAGGGACCTGAGGGAGTGCCCGTCCACCCTCCTCCTTCCTGCCTCGCTTTCATTGGCATCAGTCCTCCGAGATAAATCCACGGCAGGCTCAGGAGATGAGAGACCCTCACACTAGAATGTGCACATAGACATTCCCTGACACAGACACACAATCCCACCAGAAACCGCCCCCACACCGGTTCATATGGACTCTCACATGCACACACAAACACAATGGACCAAGGAAGGGTCTGGCCTCAGCTACCCCGGCTCCATACGATGCACACATTCTGCCCAGGCTCCTACGATGGTCACAGACCCAGGATCATACCCGGAGAGTCAGAGACGCTGTGACTCACAGACAAGTGTGCACATATGTCCCACCCACCGAAGTACAGCCAGACCACTTGGTGCCGTGTGGGCAACGAGCTGCATGTGTGTAGTGGGGGTGTGGGTACACAGCAGGTGTGTATGCACATACGCGTGTGCCTGTATGGTATAGGTGTGCCTGGGGTGTGTGTGTGTGTGCGCGCGCGCACTGCCTGTGCATGCACAGGGGCTCTGGGCAGAAGCTGCAGCCTGGAAGCTCAGTGGAGAGACCCAGGCCAAGGGACCAGTATGAAAAGGGCCCTGACAAAGACAGGAAGTACGGAGCTCCTCCTGCCCTCCACCTCCCAAGTGGTGGTCCACCATTTATCCTGTCCTCTCCAAAAACACCCCTGAAAAACTCAAGTATTGATGAGTAAGAGTTTTTTTAGGATTACAAATAAAATACTTAAGGGTAGGTAAGGACAGCAAAAGAGCACTTGATGAAGGGCCAGCCAAATCTCACCCGTCCCTGGCTCCCTGTGACACACACATTCTCTCGCATTCATGCTCAGACACGCACCATGCCCACAGACCCAAAATGACATCCACAGGATACCGCGCCATTGGCAGAGAAGAACGCAGGCCTCTGTGTGCTGTGTGGCCTCAGTCTTCCCATCTGTAAATGGGGATGGGGTGCAATGGGGACGAAGGAGACGATCTGTCTCTTCACCTTGTCTCTTAGCCCAAGGCCAGGCACCATATAGGAGCTGAGGTAGAGGCTGTTGAATGGAGGGGGCCTGGCTGGACGCAGCCTGAGGAGGTGGCGCTGGGGTCCCAGGAGCTCATACCTGGCAGAGGCGAGTGGTGCAGGAGGGCAGCAGGGGCCGACAGAACTTCTTCATGGAGCTGACAGCAGCAGGGAAGGAGGGGGCTGAGAAGATGGCGGCCACCAGGTTGATCCTAAGGATCCACGACAGCATTTCTTCCTTGCTCCTGGGGACAGGAGGAGAGGGGAGAGGGCACCAGCTCCTCACAATAGGACTCCCTGTCCCTCACCCAGCACCCAGGACCCACCGCTAGCCTGGTACAGGGAGGGAGCCACTCCCTTCACAAAGTGGGACAAAGGAGTGGAGGAAGGCAGGATGGGGGCCCGATGGACCCGGTCAAGTCTGTGTAGGGAGCTCGCCTCTGTCCCAGCTAATAGGCAAGACCTGGATTTTACCATGAAAGAAAAGCTGTCCAGGTCCAGAGTTAATAGCCATGGAGTAACAGGCCCTAGAGCCAGTGGGCCCAGGCTGATCCCTGGATCTCTGGATCCGAGAGGCAACAGGCAAGTGGCACCCCCACTCAGGCCTCCTGTCCACGCCCCACTACCTCGCCCACAATGCACATTCCCATCCTGAGAGGTCACCTACCAGCCTCCCTCCTTTTAAGCTTGTCTGACACATGAAACTCCAATCTCAAGTCACAGGATAGGGTGTGGAGGAGTGGACAGAAGGCCTTCCAGGGAAACTATGAGACGAGTCTTTCCCATCCATTTCCCCACCCCGATTTACAGTGAAGGATGATTCATTAAGCCTCCATCTGCCCCCAATTTACGGACCTCAGTGTGCAACAGAATCGCCCGGAGGGCTTGTTAGAATACAACTGCTGGCCCAGCCCCAGAGTTTGATTCGGTAGGTCTATGGTGGGGTCGGAGAAATTGCATTTCTAATGCGTTTCCCGGAGATGCTGAGAGGACCACACTTGAGAACCTGTATTTCAGGGGACCCCAGCAGTTGGTCTGTGCCGAGCAGATACACTCACTCTTATGGCTGACGTGCAGGGCAAGCTGACAGCACCTCGCCTAAGGCGGATGAGGAGTAGGGTGCGGTCCAGGCTCGATGCTGTAGGCCCTGAGCCCAAGATGGGAGGGAGGGGCTTCCCACGCCTACTTACGGTGCCTGGAAGAGGAAGACCCTCCAGTCAGCCGTCTTCAGCTTGAGCACGTTGGACTTCTTGCTGTAGTCAGAGGCCCTGGTGGCCAGAGCATGGTGCACGCGAATAGCGTTCTTCAGGTCGCCCTCAGACAGAGCTTTGTCGGGCCTGTACTCGTCCTGGACAGGTGGGCGGGGGCGGGCAAGCCTCTGTCATCACCAGGCTCAGGGCCACTAACCCACACCTCCTCATGCTGTCCCTCCGCTCCCTCCATTTTTCAGCTCTTGCCCCTGTAGGGCCATGCCCACCCAACAAAGCATGCCGGCCGCTCCGCTCCACACCCTGGTTTGTCCCAAGGCCCAGAAAGAGCTTCCACTACATATCTTCTGAGCCCCCGGGCATTTGCAAGACCCCTCCCTGAAAACCCAAAGCTCTATGAGCCCGAGTCAGGCTTTAATGAGGGAAGGACCCAGCATCTGCCTAAGCCCCAGGTCCTGCCAGGGACCCTCTGGGCACCACAAGACAGGGGCCGGTTGGAGGAATGCACTGGCCCTTCCTGGGTAAGGACTCTGGGGCAGTCTCTCACCTTCTGTAGGTACAAGATGGTCCCTTTGAGCACCGCGTAGAATTTCTTCCAGCCACGCCTCCCACGGGGTGCTAGGGATGGGGGTATGGGTAGTGTGGCCCCAACCACCCACCCCAATATCTCCTCCCTTGCATGCCCCTACATGTCTGTCTGGGTGTGCAACCCCAGAGGAGTGACCACGGGGGCCAGACCCTCTCCCCCGAACTAGCATCCCTCCCCGTGCCCCTTCCCCCGCCTGACACCCACTCCTCTTGCCATCCATGTCGGCGTGAGTCTTCCGAGTCAGCACACCATGCTTGTAGGTGGTGGCACTGAGAGCCTGCGGGACATCCAGGAAGGGGTTGCCACCATCCAGGATCCGTGTCACTTTCTTGGTGCCTGTCCCAAACTTGTCATCCACCAGCTCAGAGAGTGATTTCCTCAGCTCGTCCTCATCACTAGGAAAATGCTAGGCCTGAGCACCACCTCCATGGAAGCCTTAGCCCCACATGGACATGTTCTCTCCCCACCAGCCCCTCTCTGGGAAACAGTCAGAGGTGGAGAACAGAGATAAGGAGGTTCCAATTCCAGATCACAGATCCAGATCTTTGACCCCTGCCCTCAGTCTTCAGTTCTGACCCCTGTCATCTGAGCTGTGATTTTTGGTCTCCAAACTCTAATCCTCACCACTGACCACAAAGTTGGAGACCTTACTAGTTTCATTCGTGGTCTTTCTTCTCCTCTCTCCAACCCTGAAAGCCCAGCCCCAGGGAGCAGTGACGGACGGCCAGACTGAAGTGGCTGCCCAAGCCCCACAGACACACGCTGGGCCAGTAGATGAGGGCCCTAATGTCTAGGATCCCCAGTAGAGCTCTGGGAGAAGAATGCCAGCTCTTCCCAAGGTTTGTGGGGTTCTTAACAATCGCTACCTGTGATTTCTACATGGACCCAAAGACCAAGGCTGCCCGGGGGTGCACAGGAGGGTGGGGCAGCCACTTTCCCCAGGAGCCTCTCAGTCTCCCCACCCAGCAACGTCACCACACCTCTTTCCAGATGGCTGGGCATTTCCAAGTCTCACTGCCTTTGCAGGGGAAGAAGTTAGGGGGCAGTCACCTCTCTCCACTGCCAAGAGCAGTCACTACCTAAACATGGTCATATTCTTGGCGTTATAGGGGGATTCGTCCCTCCTGTCTACCTACCTCCCAGAAGGGAAAGAGCTATCATCACTGGGAATAGTGGCAATATCCCCAGTACAGAAAATAAGTTGTGGACATCATGAAACTAAAGTCACAGTTTAATCAATTCCACACCAGTTTAACATTTTTATCAAGACAGAAAATGTACCCAAAGGGGAACTCAAAACCTGGTGCGGCCAGCTGGACAGGGGTCACCAGAGCTGTGAGTTGGGAGAAATCAGCACCATGGAGAGTGACAGGAGTGCCTTCCCTGCACCGTCAGCCACTCCCCCTTTTCCTTCCCAGTAATTCACTTTCCCCATACCTGTGCCCATGGGCACTACTCACATGGCCCATTCCAGCTTTTCATTCTTGATGGAGTTGTAAAGGGTCTGGGACAGGGGAAAAGAGAAAGAGAGGAGTTCAGATGAAGAGTCAAAGAAATCTCCATCTACCTCTAGTAATGTGGATGCAGTGAGGAAGCATCTTTTCAGCCAGTGGGGCAAAATGGGTGTTTGATTCACAGCTGTTTGTTGAATGGATGAATGAATGAGGGGTGGGTGGGTAGATGATTGTTTAGATGAATGGGTGCATAGATATGAGGAAGAGTTGGGTAGATAGCTTGGTGGGTAGGTGGATGGGTGGGGTAATTAGTGGGTGGGTGAGGGTGCAAGGATGTAGGAGGTGTATGTGAGGATGATGGGTGAATGGGTAGGGTAGGGGCAGGCGAATGAGTTTCTGGGTAGGTGAATGGATAAAAGGATGGGGGCATGGGAGGTTGGGTAAATGGGTAGATGGGGAGAAGTGGATAGGTGGGTGTTGGGACTGGGATTATTTTATCTCACTTACAAATACATTCTTAACAAGCCCTTCTTGATGATGAAGAAGATCATTATGATAAGAAGAGTGATGGAGACAATGTTCTATTTTTTGGCCTCCAGACTCACTATCTAACTACCTACCCGGTATCACCATATCCTTCAAACTCACTATCTAAAACTGAACTCATTGGGACACCTGGTTGGCTCAGTCGATTAAGTATCCGACTCTCGATTTCAGCTCAGGTCATGATCTCAGAGCCCTGCATCAGGCTCTGAGCTGGGCATGAAGCCTGCTTAAGATTTTCTCTCTCCCTCTGCCCCTGGCCCTCCCCATACTCACTCTCACACTCTCTCTCTCTCTCAAATAAATAAATCTTTAAAGAATAAAAAGAAAAAAACTGAACTCCTCATTTACCCCCCAAAACACCTGCTACTCTTCCTCCAAGGCAGAGAACTGACCAGGCTTGAAAGGCCAGAGTTCCACCCTGGGTTTCAGCCTCAGGAGTAAACTAGAATGCCTTAATTCCTGGTGATGTTGGAGAAATGGGTGGGTTTCTCCCTGCGGTGATGACAATGACAGTTGTGGTGACGGTGGTGGAAATAGAGAGAGTCAGTGATGGCTGCAGCAGCTATGACAACTGTTGGTAGCTTTGAGGCTTATCATGACAGCAATGAAGAGAATGCAGTGCTAAAAACAAATCTCATAAAGCCTACCCCTCTGCCTAACTCAGGGAACACGCAACAGTCTAATGTTGAACTGGATGTTCACTAACTCTATCCCAAAGTCATGGTAACCATGACCCCAGTGTTAAAAATGTAGACTGTCAGAGGGGCCTGGTTGGCTCAGTCAGTGGAGCATGTGACTCTTGATCTTGGGGTCATGAGTTCAAGCCCCATGTTCGGTGTAGAGCTTATTTTTTTTAAACAGATTTGTGTATTTATTTGAGGAGAGAGGGGCAGAAGGAGAGGGAGAGAGAGAATCTTAAGCAGACTCCCTGCTGAGCATGGAGCCCAAAGCGGGGCTCGATCTCACGACCCTGAGATCATGACCTGAGCCAAAATCAAGAGTAAGACACCCAGGTGCAACCTGGTGTAGAGTTGTTTTTTTTTTTTTTTAAACCTAGACTGTCAGGATTCAGTGGAGCAGAGACCTCTCTCCTCCCCACCCACTCCAGGTATAGTTGGGGGCATGGGAACCCTTAACAGGTTTTACCTTCAGCAGGTCTTTGGCAAAGTCTTGGCCATCATTCAGCTGGTCCAAGTTGGCAATGAACTGCTGGCAGGACATCTTTTTGCCAATGTTCTGTAATGGAGAAATTGTTCTGCCTGAGAGTAGGGATGGAGGCTGGTATGATCCGCACACCCTGCCCTGCCCAGCCAGAAGGGATGAAGCAGCATCAAGGGTAGTAATGAAAAATACTGCCTAGAGTTCCCTTTGTGTCCAAAAATTTACAAAACTCTTTTTCACTTTCAAGATTCTACATGATCCTCAATGAGAAGTTGGAGTTTTCTTCAAGCCCAGATGGAGTCAGGTTGAATTAAATAACATAACAGATGACATTTGCCAGGTGTCTAGTATGTTTCAGGTATTGTACTTGACATGCATTATTTTATTTCCTTCTCATAACAAGGAGAAAGTGAGGTGGGTATTACTATTATCCCCATTTGACAGGTAAGGAAACTGAGGTGTAGGAAGGTGAAGTGACGTGCCCATGATCACACAGCAAGGAAGTGGAAGGGCTGAGTGTGTCTGACACCAAAGCCCATGCTCTCACCCGCTACTCCATGGTTAACTCTCCCAAGGTCACACAGCACCAGGACTTGAACCCAGGCCTCTTGGCTGCTGAGCAGAAGCTCTGTGTATTCCGTCACAACTGTCTCACCCTCTCACCTGTACAGAGGGGCGGCAAGACCTCCAAGAGGTAGGTGAAGTGAGGGAGAGGTTGGCCTTAAGAGAATCAAAAATCAATTTCCACCAATACACATGGGTACCCCATGCTGAGCTGGGCTGGGACCCAGGGAACCCGAGCAGATGGTCTCACTCCAGAAGGCACAAAAAGACAAAAAGCTGGAAATGACTGTACCCCAAGTTCTGCCTTTTTTAAACCACTGAATAGCAGAGGGGCTCCAGCCCTCCAAACCCAACACCTGATGTGCATACTTTCAGACTCTTCTTGCAATATCCATGTTTGAGGACACACGGGGTGGCACTTCACCTTTGTGAAGATGAAGACCCTTGAACACCAGTTACTTATTGGTGTAGGATTTTGTGGATTTAGGTTGGCTGTAAGACAGTGTTTTCCAAGACTTACCTACAGATGGGAATATGTATTCCCCCACAAAAAGACTTCATAATCAAATAAGTTTATTTACATGTTTCAGAGTCTTTAATATGCTTTTGTGTGTTGAGAGTCTCCAAAGGAAGGATTTCATGTACAGCCTCCCAAATTCATTGACCTTGTCAGCATTTTAAGAAAGAGAATTTATTAACATCATGTGGAACATTCACATACCACAGAAAATAATCCAGGAAAAAAGGATACAAGGCTTTATAAGTAGCTGACAAGCAAGAATTTTCTACACCTTTCCAAAAGGTTAAGGAGACATGATCCTGCATATGCCTTGATATAGTACGTTCCATATGTTTATGTGTATATTTTACACATACATATATGTATTTTCATATGCAGCCACTTATGTGTGCATTCTTAATAGAGGGATATGAGGCAGTAATGTCTGGGTTTCACACACAACATTCCCCAGCCACCAGTCAGGAGTTCAAAATCAAAAAATAACCAGGCAAGATTTTCAATCCCAGAAATGACAGGCTATCTTGCTGCAAATGAATCTTCCTAACAGAAACAAGTGCTGGTCAAAATATTAAAACATCTGTGTGAAGGCACTAGAGAAATGTAAAAGCAGTGAGGACATCAAGGGTAAAGATCCTGCAAGAAGGGAAGCATGGAGATGTGAGCCCCATAAGGAGCAGGTTTCCTACCTGAAGCATTTGCCAGTTCACAAGCAGTGACCAAAAGCTTGAGCAACTGAGTGGTCAGTAGGACTGGAGAACAAAAATTGGAATTCAGAGCCCACCAAGAACAAGGGGCCCTGGAGAAACACCCCATTCACACTTCAACACAAGTGTTGAAATTAAGAAAGGAAATACTAAAGGGACTTTTTCTGGCAGAAGGAAAATTATCCCAGATGGAAGCATGAAGAAGCAGAAAAGAATGAAGAGCAACAAAAAGGGTGGCTAAATCTAAGTGAATATTGATTATATAAAACAATGATAAGAAAGTTTTCTGGGGCGCCTGGGTGGCTCAGTTGGTTAAACGACTGCCTTCGGCTCAGGTCATGATCCTGGAGTCCCGGGATCGAGTCCCGCATCGGGCTTCCTGCTCAGCGGGGAGTCTGCTTCTCCCTCTGACCTTCTTCCCTCTCGTGCTTTCTATCTCTCATTCTCTCTCTCAAATAAATAAATAAAATCTTTAAAAAAAAAAAAGAAAAAAGAAAGTTTTCTGGGGAAGGGCACATGGGTAGCTCAATAGGTTGAGTGTCTGACTCTGGATCTCAGCTCGGGTCTTGATCTTTGTGAGTTCAGGGTCTCAAGGTTGTGCTGGGCTCCACACTGAGCATGGAGTCTACAGAAGAATAAGACTAAGACTAAGAAGAAAGAAAAGAAAAGAAAGGAAAAGAAAAGAAAAGAAAAGAAAAGAAAAGAAAAGAAAAGAAAAGAAAAGGAAAGAAAAGAATAGAGAAGAGAAGAGAAGAAAAGAAAGAAAGAAGAAAAGAAAGAAAGTTTTCCGGGAAATAAAGTATAGAGAAAGATCTAATAGTTTAAGATGACAACAGTAATATATAAGCTGAGAGGGCAATAAATGGAGAAATGGAGTTAAGGTGTTTTAAGATGATTTCATTGCCTAGGAACTGGAAAAAGTACATTAATAATTTAGGATGCATACTGCAAACAACAAAAAGAATTCTCAAAGAATGAACAACTAACAGGCTAATGGAATAAAAGGGAATTCTAAAAAATGCTTAAATAATCCAAAAGTAGGCAAGAAAGGAGTAAAAAAAGGAACATAGAACTGATGAGTCAGAGAAAACAAATTGTATCCTGGTATGTTTAAATTTAATTATATTAGTAATTCATTATGTGGTCAGATTAAGAGGTAAAGATTATCAGACTTAATTCTTTTAAAAAGTGTATCATAAAAGACATATCTCTTAAATATAAGGGCACAGAAAACTTAAAAACATAGGATGGCAATAGACACATGCAAACACTAACAAAAGAACTCTAGCATAACCACACTATATCTGAGAAAATAGACTTAAAGACAAGGAACCTTCCTAGAGATAAAAAGAGACATTTCATAGTGATAAAAGGGCCAATCTACCAGATGATATAAGCATCCTAAATGTATATGCACCAAATAGCATAGTCTCAAAAAATATAAGACAAAAATTGTCAGAACCAAAAAGAGAAAGACACATTCACAATCTTGGTTGGAAATTTTAACACTGTTCTCTCAGTAACAAAAGAACAAAAATACTAAATAATTCATTAATAACAATTAGATAAAATGGACAAATTCTGGAAACATACAAACTATTAAAAATGCTCAAGCAGAAATAGGAAATCTGAATAGATCTATCAAAAGTAAAAAGATTGAGGGACACCTAGGTGGTTGGGTCAGTTAAGCATCTACCTTCGGCTCAGGTCATTATTCCAGAGTCCCAGGATCAAGCCCCTCATCAGGCTCCCTGCTCAGCAGGGAGTCTGCTTCTCCCTCTGCCTCTCACCCTGCTCATGCGCTCTCTCTCTCCCTCAAATAAATGAATGAGACCTTTAAAAAAAAGAAGTAAAAAGATTGAACCAATAATCAGAAACCTCAGAAAAGAAAAGCCCAAAACCAGATGGCTTCAGTAGTAAACTTCACCAAATATGTAACGAAAAATTAACACCAATACTCCTCAAACTCTTCCAAAAAATTGACGAAGGAAAACTTCCTGACTCATTCTATAATGCCAACATTAGCTTGATAACAAAACCAGAAAAAGACATCACAAGAAAAGAAAACTATGTAACAATATCCCTTGGGAATATAAATGCAAAAACCCTCCACAAAATACTAGCAAACAGAATCCAGCAGCATTTTGAAAGGATTATATACCATGATCAAATGGAATGTAACCCAGTAACGCAAGTGTGGCTCAACATACAGAAATCTAACAATGTAATACACCACATTAATAGAATGAAGGGAGGGGGAAGCTACATGTTCATCTCAATTGATGCAGAAAAAACATTTCACAAAATTCAACACTGCTTTCATGATAAAAAAAAAAACTGAATAAACTAGGACTAGAACTTCCTCAGTATGATAAAAGGCATTTATGAAAACTCACAGCTAACATCATACTCAATGGTGAAAGACTGAAATCTTTCCCCCTGAGATTAGGAAAAGGCAAGAATGCCCAGTTTCCCCAATTCTCTTCAACATATACTAGGAGTTCTAGTCAGAGCAATTATGCAAGCAAAAGAAGTAAAAGGCATCCAAATTAGAAAGGAAGAAGTAAAACTATCTCTATTCATAGATGACATGATCTTGTATATAGAAAATCCTAAAGGATACACCAAAAAATGAACACATTCAGCAAAGTTGCAGAATACAAGATCAGCACATAAAAATCAATGTTAGTAAAGAATGATCATAAACTGAAATTAAGAAAACAATTTCATTTACAATAACATCAAAAAGAATTAAAAACTTAGAAATAAATTTAACCGAGGAGATAAAAGACTTGTATACTGATAACTATAAAAGATTGCTAAAAGAAATTAAAGACCTAAATAAACAGAAAGACCTGTGGTGTTCATGGATTGGAAGACTTAATATAGCTACAATGGTAATACTCCCCAAACTGATCTATAGATTCAATACAACCCCTATCAAAATCCCAAAGGCCTTTTTTATAGAACTGTAAAACCTTATACTCAAATTCATATGTAATTGTAAGGGTTCCCAATACCCAAAACAATCTTGGAAAAGAACAAAGTTAGAAGACTCACACTTCCTGATATCAAAACTTCCTAAAGACCTACATAATCAAGACGGCGTGGCACTGGCATAAATATAGACATACAGATCACTAAATTAAGCCATACATCTATGGACAATCGACTGTTTTTTACTGAATAAATTTGACATAAAGCACTGCATCTGTTTAAGGCACACAGTGTGTTACTTTGATACATTTACATATTGTAATATTATGGTCGATTAATATGGCCAAGAC